TCCTCACTGCCATTCTGTCTCCTATCTTTCCTCTTCTGCTGCCCCCAACTGGCTTCCACAACTGCTAAATTCCAGCAACCAGCAGGGTTCAATTCAGTGCTTTGTTTTGACTGCTGGGTTCCTGGTAGGAAAATCAACTCAGATGAATAACTAAATTTTTAGACTGGGAACAGAAAATCGCAATCAACTCATTTCCTTCACATCTCGGCTTTATCACATAGCCACACAGTAGCTGGTACTTGTCCCAGCAAGTGGGCCAGACAGAGCCCCAGGCTAACAAAAGAGAAGCCATTTCCATTGTTCAGTTAATAGTCTCTTCTCAGGAAGGAACAAGGTTAAAATGACAGAGCCATTATGTAAAAGCAAACAAAGATCAAATCGAATGTAAAAGTGTAGCAACAGACTTGGAAATTCAGAACTACAAATTCTAACACATTTATACAAAAGAACAGTTAAAAGTAGTATGTAAATAAAATTTCAGGCTTTTAGTTTTGTGAAATTTTGAGCAGTAAATATATTTTAAGTTTTTGTTTCAGCCAATATGTGTCATTTTTTAAGAGGGATGAAAAGATTAAAAATCCAAAAGTATTTAAAATTTACTGTTATAAATTAAAATAAGAAATCTAAAGTATAGCTGGGTGGTGGTAGCATACACCTTTAATCCCAGCACTTAGGAGGCAGAGACAGGTGGATCTCTTAGTTTGAGGCTAGCCTGGTCTACAAAGCCAGTGAGTTCCAGGACAGCCAGTGCTGTTATGTAGAGAAAGCCTGTCTTGAAAAACCAAACAACAAAACAAAACAGTTTAAAGGATGAAATAAATTTAAATAAACTTTCAAGTAATGGTTTTTGTAAGTGGCTAGCTAGCATTTATACTTCAGAAATTCTAAAGGTTGACACAACACTGGGAAAATATGGAAAATTATGAATTCACATGGTGATTGAATGTCAACATTTATAGCTTACATATATTAAAAGAAAATGCAAGTCATTTATAACACAAAAACAATGTATACAAATAGATAAAACAGTCAGTTTTGAAGGCAGAGAGACTTGCCAAGTGAGCCTGTCACTAAATATAGGATGCTCCTTTTATTCTGACTCCAGTGCTAGCATGCTCAGTCATTCAACAGCTTTTTTGTTTGTTTGTTTGTTTTTTCGAGACAGGGTTTCTCTGCATTGTTTTGGAGGCTGTCCTGGAACTCGGTCTGTAGACCAGGCTGGCCTCAAACTCACAGAGATCCGCTTGCCTCTGCCTCCTGATTGCTGGAATTAAAGGCATGTGCCACCAACACCAGACCCATTCAATAGCTTTGACATAACATACAATACCACATTATGCCACAAGGTCAGAATGTTTAGATAACTAGTTCCAAGTGAACCAAGTAAACAACCAGGGCAAGGTGAAATTGCTATCAGAAATACCTAAATAAGGCCTTTAAGTTTACCAGATCTTAAGTAATCAGGGATTAGTTTCCAACTAGCTTCACTGGAAACATCACTAGGTATGTATCCTAGAACAATTGCCTCGGTTGCTTTACAGAAACTTGAAGGCCATTTTTTGCTAAAAAATAAATAAATAAATAGCAAAAAAAACCCACAAACACAAACAAACAACAAACAAAACCTTTTTCTATAGCCTATGGATATCAAATGGATGACCGTAGTGTCTTGACATCTGTCTTCACATTGAATCTATTCCCTTGGTTGTCATACTTTTTTTCAGACATGGTTTCTCTGTAGCTCAGCTTAGCCTTTTTAGGCATGCCAATCCCTCTGCCTCATCTTTCCATATGCTGTGACTATAGGCATGAGCCAACACACCTGGCTTTGCTCGATTAAACCTCGAGTCTGACTCTACTCAGTCAGCTCTCTGTATAGAGATGTTGATATTTTGAGTTCAAGACTTAATGTGGCTTATTACCTTTGTAGCAGCTCAAGAGCAATATCCCTCAGCTTTATAATATGGAAAGGCCATGTGGTGACAGTAAGAAAAGGAACTTAACAGCTCCAGACTCAAGTTCCAAAAGCCCTTTAGAAAAGCAATGATGCCAGCAACAGGAGAAACTCAAGAGTTCCCTGGATAAATCACCTCAAACTAGCCCATCAGGTACAAGACCAAGATGTTTGCTGGAAAGAAGAAAGACGCCCACAATTAATACACAATTGCCAAACCACCCCACTCTCCCCCTCAAAAGAGTGAGTAAAAACATGCTGCTCCTTTTGTTCAACTAAGCCTGATAGATTCTGCTTAATGTTAGCTCCCTTCTGCTCTGGACCTCAAGTCCCAATAAAGCCTTGTCTGTCTTGTCTATCATATGCGACTTAGCAAGCAGGAAGTGGCAATAAGAGGGCCAGGAGTTTCTTCTGTTGCGTAGGGATTTGAGGTCAGTCAGAGATAGACACTTTGTTTTTTGTTTTTGTTTTTGTGGGGTTTTTTTTTGGTCTTTCGAGACAAGGTTTCTCTGTATTGTTTTGGAGGCTGTCCTGGAACTAGCTCTGTAGTCCAGTCTGGCCTCAAACTCACAGAAATCCGCCTGCCTCTGCCTCCTGAGTGCTGGGATTAAAGCTGTGCACCACCAACGGACATTTTGTTTTTAAAAAGAGAGAATGCAGCCAGGCGTTGGTGGCTAGAGGATGTAGTTCAAAGTTACAGTATATCCCTGACAGGCTCAAGGCCCTACGTCCTTACCTCAGGAAATGATCTAGGTTGGTGGATCTATACTTGGGCTACACAGCTACAAGACTGAGTTTTAAAACATACAGACTTAAGGCTGTTTCACAGAGTCTCTGATTTAACTAGTCCTGGCTATACAATAAGCATAAGGAATTTTAAACACCCTTGGTGAAGTTAACATGCACCCAAAGCTGAGAACTATACTCTACTTCATTGGGCAGATGTTCAAAGCTCTGATTGTTTTTTTTTGTTGTTGTTGTTGTTTTTTTTTGTTTTGTTTTGTTTTTTTTTTTTTTTGGTTTTTCGAGGCAGGGTTTCTCTGTGGCTTTGGAGGCTGTCCTGGAACTAGCTATTGTAGACCAGGCTGGTCTCGAACTCACAGAGATCCGCCTGCCTCTGCCTCCCGAGTGCTGGGACTAAAGGCGTGAGCCACCAACGCCCGGCCCAAAGCTCTGATTGTTAAAAGTTTCAGCTGATTTATTTATTTACTTATTTCATGTGTGAGTAGGTAGAAGGACAGTCTGCAAGGACTGGTTCTCTCCTATCAAGTCGTTCCCTGGGACTGAACTCAGGTAGTGAGGCTTGGCACCAAGTGCCTTTACCTGATGCGCCATTTTGCCAGTCCTAGAGTGTAGGCATTTCGGGCTGGATCCGGATGGGTCAGGTATTCTGGCACTCAGGAGTCACAGAATACTGAGTGTTACTCAGGTGGAAAGGTATCCTGGAGCTCGGGAGTCACAGAATACTGAGTGTTACACAGGTCAGATGGGAAGGTATCCTGGATTTCGGGAGTCACAGAATACTGAGTGTTACACAGCTCAGGTGGAAAGGTATCCTGGAACTCAGGAGCCAAGGACCACCACAGGTTGTAGTAAGCTTAGCAGCCTACAGCCCTGCCTCAGGGAAAGGCTTCCCCATTGTATTGGCTCTGCTCTGGCAGGACAGGGTCGTCCAGCTGGGGATGTTTGCCCAGTGTAGCAGTTTTGCTCCGCAGGAGGTTTCTCGGGCTAAGTTGCTATAGTTCAGCTCTGCTCCCGGAGAGCTGAGAGTGGAGAGCAGGAGTGTAACAACTCTGCTCTGCCAAGAGAAGGTTTCCCACCAAAAGTGTTACAGCCCTGCTCACTCTGCTCTGCCTAGGGTCGCCTCTGCTCCGCCCCCGCAAAAGAAGATCTTCAACAAAGCTCATCCAAGGGGTTTATTGGGAGGGAAGAATCCAGGAGAGTGACTGCCCTCTGCCAGAGTGAACAGACACAGGGTTTATATAGGGCTTCCAGGGTAGGGCTTGGTCAGACTTTAATGCTGATCTCAGATTAGCTAGAGCTCTGCTCAAAGATTGGTTAGTTTTCCGCACAGGATTAGGGCCAGATTTGACTCTTGTTTTAGGGCCAAAGTGTGTTCCTTTCTCTGGTCCTTTTTAGCCTTTTGGCTCCAATTTTAGGGCCAGGCTGCATTTCTTTCACTGACTCTGATTCCAGGGACAAAGTGTGTTTTTTTGGCACTGGTTTCAGGGTCAGGGTCCATTTCTTTAGTTCTGGTTGCAGGGCCAAAGTGTGTTTCTTTGGCTCTGCTCAGGGTGTGTTTCTTTGACTGGTCCCTTTTCCCTACATAGAGCACCATCCAAAATGTAATAGTAGCACCAATCTCAAGTTTTTGATGAAAAGTTTTTAAAAATTAATCGACAGCCAGTTGTTTTGGTGCAGGTGGATCTCTGAGAGCTGAAGGCCAGCCTGGTATACATACTGAATGTCAGGTCAGGACTGCATAGTAAGACCCTGTCTTAAAAACAAAGACAGTAATATAGACATATCTTTTTAAGCGTCGCGCGAAATAATCCCTGTTTAAATAATGTGATTCTATTTATGCAAAAATCAGATTATTAAAAAAAAAAACAAGAATGGAACCGGGGACAGAGATGACTAGGAGGTTAAACTAGGAGGAAATTCCAGGGATAGAAATGTTACATATTTGGATTAAGGTACACAGATATTTACACTTATCAAAACACGAAAACGGCCAACAGAGATTTCCATTACGATGTTGCCGTAAATAAACTGGTTACAAAGAGAGGCGGTTAATCTGATCGTGGGTGTGTATCATCCTGATAATCCCTTCTACATTAAAAAAGCACAACAAACTGGAGATAAGAATCAGTGAGAAGGGAGAGCCCACAGCTGGGAGGGTCAAGCCTAAGGAATCACTAGAAAACTCTGGCAGCCGAAGCCAGGTGCTTCTAAAACTGCCCAGCCTGAGCGTACCAGGAAAAGAAAACCGCGCTTTTTCCGGCCCGCACAAAAACCGGCGGAGTGTCCTCACCGGAAGGGTCCGGAGGGAAACGCTGCCACCGAGGCAAAGGGCCCGGTAGCAACTTGGTTCCTGCGCGGATGCTGGGGCTGTAAGGCGCCAGGCGGCCGGCTGGTTGTGGATCGCAGAAGGAGGACGCTGGGGCCCGCCGTCCATCCGCTGCTACTATGATTCCGGTGTCGCTGGTGGTGATGGTGGTGGGTGGTTGGACTGCTGTCTACCTGGCCGACTTGGTGTTGAAGGTGAGGGCCTCGGGCCTAAGGCCTTAATCGGCGGAGTCCAGGGCTGGTGCGCATGGTCCTGTGCTGCCCGAGGCCTGTCCTCCGTCCTTGCCAAGTTTCCTGCGGGGGGGGGGGGGGTTGGGACCCGCTCTGCCTGTGCGTGCACCCTTCCGCGTGGTGCATCCGTCCGGCGGAGTAAAGAAAGCAGGCCAGGCTGCGGGAGGGGTGTGGCGGCCTGCGCCGCTGCTGCTTTGCGGGCGCCCGGGTCCCTGCCGCTTTTGGCTCTTTCCCCGGGAGGAGCCTGTAGTGTGGGCTTGGGAGACATGCTGCTGGTACTGGGAGAAATCGAAAGCAAATCGTAATTTAAATCACCGATGGCAAACTCGAAACTGCACACGATCACCCAAGTTTCGGTTAAAATTTAGATTCTGATTCAGCAGGTCTGGGAGGAAAGCTAAGATTCTGTATTTCCAACCAGTTCCTCTGTCCTGCCGACGGTGCTGACCCACAGACCATGCTGTGAAGTACCACGCTGAAGTAGCAAGATAGCCACGTTTTCTACTACTCAAATTCTAACTTACACCCTCCACTCCCTTCTTCATAGTGACGACACACACCCTGGGCATACAGTGCGTTTTTTAAGTAGTGGGTGTTGGGATGGTAAAAAATTTCAACAGTTGTCTGAGCACATGGTTTAGACACCTTTGGAATGGAATGGGTGTAGAATGAGCATAGAAATTCCCAAGGGTTTAAAACTTACAATCATGAGTAGTAAGTAAAACCTTCATGTGTTCTTTTAAACAAAATGCCACATGGCGTTGTGTCTTAGAGAACAATAACACGAAATGGTCCCTGTGCTTCTTCCTCGTATTTAAACTTTAAAGCCAGATCTATGAAGTGTAGTCCTTAGGAGGGCTAGGCTCTACCAATTTCTAACCTTTGTGACCTTGGGCAGATTACTTACTACCTGTGCCACCATTTCTTGTTTTTGCATGGGGATAACAACAGGAAGGATCGCCTGAAATTATGGAGAGGATTATGTTAATGCACATCCATAATATATTACATAAATGTGAGATTCATTGACCAATAACACTTGGATGATCTGGGCACTTGTTAGAATGGAAGAATCTCAGGTCTCAACACAGACCTGTACAATCACAACCTGCAGCTTAACAGGAGCCCCCACTGATCTCTCTGCACATTAGTTTGGGAATCACTGAGGCGATTGATTTGGCATAGTCCTTAACAACATAGGCCACAGTCCTTAACAGCACAGGCCACAGTGATCTCTGGCGATTGGGTTCAAAAGAAAAAGCCATGTGATTTCTTATTGTCTTGTAAGTGGGGGAAAATCCAAAATAAAAAGAACTCATCAAACTTGTACAGTCAGTCTCAGGTCAAATAAATGAGTGATAAGGATGTGGCTTCAATTTCTGGAGCATCTTCTATCTTCATGAAAGCATCAACCCCTGAGCAATGGCACTGATCACAATCTGGGGAATGGAGAGGCCTTGCCTTAAGAAAAAGCGTATATGGTTGTTTTGTCTGCTTGTATGTACGTTCACTACATGCATTCAGTGCCTTGGTGAGCAGACGAGGTCGTAAGACCTTTCTGTGCCCCAGATCTTGCCTTTCCAGCACATTCACCTTCTCTTGGTCTCCTGTTCTAGCGTTGATCTTTCTAGCTTTCCACAGTAGACCGCTGCTGCACAGGTATGCCAATCTCCATTTCAAGTCCTGGGAAGCACACTTAAAATGCCATCAGAAGACAGGAGAGACAAGTACAGATACTGGCATTCAGACTCGGGTCATTTTTTTTATGATGGTAAAAGAGCTGAACTAGCCTTATAGGACAAATGCATTTTTCATATAGATGACAGTGCTTCCAATGCTTTCTGTAACTGCCTTGGTATTTATAGATCTACCTTAGTCAAGGACTTCAGCCTTTCTAAAAGATAAGACCCTTGTAACTGTTTATAAGCACCTAGCACGGTAACCCCTGGAGAAACTTAAGAGGACAGCAGGTAGATTTTGTACTTTGATTTGGTCAAAATTGGTTTAACTTGAGGCTTGCTTAGATGAAAATAGAAAATACCGATTCAACAAAAGAGATAGGCAAGACTTCTTTTCTTTCTGTGGCAATAAAATAGCTTGTGCTGTCGGCTGTGGTAGTCATTAACTGTATGTGGCTACCTAGCATTTGAAAAAGCTTGTTTGAGGATATTGGATACACCAAAGCTGGAGTTCCACATTTGTGAGCCACCTGGCAGGGGTGCTGAGTCTGCAAGACCAGTGTGTGCTCTTAACCTCTGAGACATCTCCTAAGGTCCTCGATTTAGTACACTTAAAATGTTAAATATTACAATTAATATGCAGTATAAGTTAATTATAAACAGTTTTTACCAGTTATAAATACTGTTATGCTAATAAATCACAGTACTCACTCTTGAATGAAAAAAAAAAGAAAAAGCTTGTTTGAATAGAGATGTGCTATGAGTATACTCTTGATACCACATTTCAAAGAATACTAGAAACAAGTGTCTCAGTGTTCTTATATTGGTTACACATTAAAATGACAGCTTGGATAGTATACCACAAATATATGAAAAGGAATCTCTCCTTTTGTAAATTTGGCTACTAGACAGTTTAAATTAGACGTGATTTGCGTTTTTGACTCATATTTCTTATGGACTTCATGGTTCTAATCAGAGGTCAGGTTTGGGTTGCCCCCCTCCTGCCTGAGACAGGATTTCTCTATGTAGTCCTGGCTGTCCTGGAACTGATCTGTAGACCAGGCCCGCCTTGAACTCATAGAGATCCGCCTGCCTCTGCCTCCACCGTGCTGGGATTGAGTGTACACCACCACCCCCTGGCAAGGTTGGTATTTATTTTAAGGGGTGGAATAGTAAGTACCTTAAACTTTATGGTTCATGGGGTTTTTGTTACATATTCTTGGGTTTTGTTGTTTGGAGGAGACAGGGTTGAGACAGCATTCCTATATGTGTATTTGACTGACCTGGAACTCATGATGTCAACCCTACTGGTTGTGAACTTGCAGAGATACTTCTATCTTTCCTTCTCCAGTGAAGTAATGGTATTACAGGCAAACACTACTGTGCTGGCTACTTTTGATTGTTGATTTAGAATCACTATGGAAACAATTGTCTGTGCTTGGCTGCAAAGGATTTTCTATATTAGGTTAATTGAGGGGGCCCCCTTAAATGTGATAAGTACTATTCCCATGGAATGGGGTCCTGGACTGGACAAAAAAGGAGAACACACCTAAGGGCAAGCTTTCATCTCCCTCTGCTCCAGACTGTGGATGTAATGTGACCAAGTGCCTCAACCACCATCTTCCTTCCCATCTAGCATAGCTTCTGCTCCATGATGGGCTATACCCTGGAGTTTTGAGCCAAATCAAACCCTTCCTAAAGCTGCCCTTTTGTGACAGTATCTAGACAAGTAACTAATATAACCCCCATCCCCAGAGGCTGTTTTTTTTTAATCCCTTAAAAAGTAAAAACCATTCTTATATTGTAGGTTATATAAACCAGATTTTGTTTTTAGACTATATTTCCCTTGGACCCTAAGTTAATCAGAGATCTTTAGTACTTTGAAGAATAAATGTAAGATTTTAAGATTATAAGCATTTGAGACTGGGATTGTAGCTTGGTTTGTGGAGTGCTTGCCTAGCATGCACAATGCCCTAGGTATGCTCTCAGTACTGCTTAAACCAGAAATGGTGTCAAATGCCTATAATCTCAGCACTTGGGTGGTAGAGGCAAGAGGATCAGAAATTCAAGGTCATCCAAGGGCTATTAGAAACTAGAGGCCAGCTGGGATATGTGAAATTATCTCAAAAATATATAAATCACTGGTTTCTCTCCCTTTGGGTTGAAACCCCTTTGGGGGGGGTCGAATGGCCCTCTAACATGGGTTGCCTAAGACCATCAGAAAACATCATAGCAAAATTACAGTTATGAAGTACCAACAAAAATAATTGTATGGTTGGGATCATCACAACATGAGGAAACATATTAAAGGGTCACAGCATTAGGAAGGTTGAGAACCACTGTTGAGCCACTAACATCTTGATTTCCTATACAAAGTACTTATTTTCTTTATTTTTTATCTTTATTTAGTTCTTTATGTTATAAATCTGTCCTTCAAATTTGAGTGATACTAAACTGTTCTTTCTCTTAGTCATCTGTGTATTTTAAACATTCTTATGAAGACTGGCTGGAAAAGAATGGATTGAGCATCTCTCCTTTCCATATAAGATGGCAAACTTCAGTTTTTAATCGTGCCTTTTACAGTTGGGGACGGCGGAAAGCAAGGATGCTTTACCAATGGTACTTTTTATCTTTAATTTTGGGGGTTAAATTAGTAATTTAATTAAATTATGATCATCAGAAATAGCCTATAAGAAATTCTGTCTCTGTGCTTTTTCATACATTAAAAATCATGGCACCTAATCATAGTGGTGCATACCTGTTGTTCCAGAAGGAACATGAGTTTGAGGCTATCCTAAGTTAGATTTCAAGTTTGAGGCCACTCTGATCTATATGAAAACCTTGTCTCAAACAAACAACAAAAAAGTAAAATGGGGGAGGCTGGAGAGGTGGTTCAGTAGTTAAATTTGCTGTTCTTCCAGAGGACCCAAATCAAGTAAAAATGAATAAAACAAAAACATAAATAAGTAAATAAGACACTGAGAGGAATTTATGATTTTGTGTTTTCCGTGGTCTTTGGGATACCTAATATCCTAACAATTTCTTTTAAAGATTTATTTATTTTTATTTTGTATGCTTGTTTTCCTGAATATGTACCACCTGCATGCAATACTCACAGGAGCCAGCCAGGTGTAAGATCCCCTGGAACAGGGGTGACAGACAGTTGTGAGCCATCATGTGGTACTAGGAACTGAACCTGAGTCTTCTGCAAGAGCAATTAGTGCTCTCAACCTCTTAGCCATGTCACCAGCTCCCCACAAGAGGTTCTTAATCCAGAGAATTTTGGGTTCATGAATAGTGTACTCTAAATTACTTTTTGTTAAAGATAAATCTCCAAGTAGGAAGCCCAACACTCAGAATATTGAGGCAGGAGAATTGAGGGAAGCCTGGACAATACAGCAAGTTCCAGGCCAGTCTGGGAAATCCCTCCCTCTCTCTCTCTTTCTCTACCTCTCTCTACCTCTCTCTATATATATGTGTATGTATATATGTGTATATATATATATCACAAATATACAAGTATAAGTTCCAAATGTGTTCAATCTAAATGTTAACAATTAGATAGTCAAAGTATACAGTAATAATTAGACAAACCTAAAATTCAGTTCTTTGAAAAGACTAATAAAATTGATTAAGCCTAGGTCATGACTAAGAAAAAACAGTAGCTAAAAATCATAATCGCAAAAGAAGACAATATTTCAAATTCTGTGAACAATAAAACAAAAAAATTATTACAAACAATTCAACAATTCTTATATTTTACAACAGAGCTCATGAAGAGGAACACATTAGTCCCAGCTGTAAAAGAGTAATTTTAATTATTAAAATAGTAGAATAATAAAACTATTAAATTAGAGTCCATTGATATTTAAATTAGTTTATCACAAAGTGAAGCTAAAATAAGATGCACATAGTAGAACAGATGAAAAATGAATGCAAGGCCCAATGTTAAGAGCATTCCTAGCTATATTAAACACAAACCAGTGCTATCTAAATAATCAAATGGAGAGGGACTCCCCAATCCCTTTTTAAATTTGGCAATAATCTGCAGCTTTTTTGGGTGTCAGAGTATTGTAGTTTGTTAGAACTGCCTATGAATCAGTCAGATAGTTTAGGTAGGGAAAAGAAGGCCAGCTATTTGTCTTTTTACCCATTGTTTAAAAGTTAGAAAACAACCCTGTCTCGAAAAAAACCAAAAAAAAAAAGTTAGAAAACATGGTCAGTTACTTTGTTAGTATATACATTGTGAAGAGTTGTACACTTACATGTTTGTTTTTGTCCTTGTTGCCAGGTTCAATTTTGGAATGGTGTTTGGTGTAATTGCCATGTTCAGCTCATTTTTTCTCCTTGGAAAAACACTGATGCAGACTTTGGCACAGATGATGGCTGACTCTCCCTCTTCTTCCTCTTCCTCTTCTTCCTCTTCCTCCTCTTCCTCCTCTTCATCTTCCTCCTCTCTTCACAATGAACAAGTGTTGCAAGTTGTGGTAAGTATTTTCTTTTTTTGTTGTTTTAAACTGCTGAAAACACAAATATGTTTTTCTGGCTGGTATAGCTACAATGTATAACATAACACTAAAGTAAAAACACCTCATAAGTTTTCAAATTACATTCTTAACCAAGAACCATTAGTAGGACATTAGCAGAAATTGTCCCAGTATTTGATGGCAGTGGCAGTAGCTGTAGTAGAGACTAAACTGACCACTAATGAGACAGACAGGCAGCCATTGCAGCTTACCCTTCACTCAGGGTGTCTTCTGGAGGTGTGAAATGAGTAGGCATTCTGACTTGAGGTCTCTGTAACATGGAAGAAAATGGGCAGCACTTCCCTGTGCTTCTCATCGTCTTCAGAATTTAACCAGGAATCTCCTTTTAATTAATAGTCGAAGGCTGAAGTTGGGGGTAAAGGTATAAGACATTTTTGAATGCTCACTGTCATTTCTTTGAAGTTGCCTCTCACTCTGTTAGCTGGATTAGCCTAGCACTTGCTCTATAGCCCAAGCTTCCCTCAAACTCATGGAGATCATCCTGCCTCAGCCTTTCAAGTGCTGAGATTTCATTTATGAATCACTACAACTATGCTGTGATATTTTTAAAGATTTACGTATCTTATTTGTGTGTGTGTGTGTGTGTGTGCACACGCGTGCATGCGTGAGTGTTTTAACTGCATGTATATGTACTATATGCATGCCTGGTACCTAGAGAGGTCAAAAGGTGGCATTGAATTCCCTGGAACTGTAATTACAGACAGTTGTGAACCACTGCAAAGGCAGTAAGGGCTCTTAACTGCTAGTCCATCTTCCCAGTCTGTACCTTGTGGTTTCTTAATATAAAAAATAATGTGCTAGGTTGTATTCCTTAGGTTGTAAGATATTATAGTAATTCTTATTTTAAAGTACATGTGTAGGCTTGTATCTTATATTTTGGCAGTTCTGGGGTTTGAAAGTACATCATCATGCACAGAAGCCAAGTGCTCTACTGAGCTGTAACCCCTGCTCTTATCTCTTACCTTTTGCCATCTTCAGTTTGTAAGAGTGTTTGATATTGGCTCACTTTTGCTTCATATTTTTTCAACTTTTTTTTCTGTTTTTACGAGACAGGGTTTCTCTGTATTGTTTTGGAGGCTGTCAGTCCAGCCCGGCCTCGAACTCACAGAGATCCGCCTGCCTCTCCCTCCCGAGTGCTGGGATTAAAGGCGTGCGCCACCACCGCCCGGCTCAACTTTATTTATGTATTTCTAACTCTCATTTTTAGACTTGTAGTTTCCATTCTATGATTTATAAAAGTTGCATTCGATCATATTCTTGTTAATGGGACATTTAAAGGTTAGGAACAGATTTTTTTAAAAAAAAGAAGAAATCTCATCTATGACTTCTGCTAAGCTGGGCCAATGGGGGGAAACTTGGAGAAACTTGGATGTGATTTATAGAGAGTAGTAAAGGATGGTCACAACTCTTTCTTAGAAGTTAAGGCGATTTTTTAATCCCAGCACTCGGGAGGCAGAGGTGGATCTCTGTGAGTTCGAGGCTGGGCTGGACCGACAGCCTCCAAAACAATACAGAGAAACCCTGTCTCGTAAACCCCCCCCCCCCAAAAAAAAAGAAGTTAAGGCAATTTGTCAGGTGAAGCTGCGTAAGACATGATGTATTTCTTCATTAAATATTGATGAGTGTGTCTTGCCTGCTAGCTACGTACTGGGTCCCATTTACCCAACAAAACCCAGTGCTCACACTCATGGAACTTTTAGTCTAGGAGGTGAAATGCTATGATTGTTATTTCATTGGACATTATACAAGGTGCTGTGGCAACAAAACTGAGTGTAAGGTGTACCCGGCACTAGGGAAGAAGAGAGCAGAAGGGTGAGGAACTCGATGCAAACTGAGCACCTCAGGAATAGAAGGATCTCTGAAACATGGAACACAGAATTATCATAGTAATCATAAATAAGTAGGTGACAGGCAATGTTTTCCACATGAGGTTTCTGTATATCTTTTATTTTGTTCTCTCAGCACATGGCCAATAGACAGGGTACCTCATGAAGTTTATTTTGTTCTCCCTGACTTACAGATGAGAAAACCAAAGCCCAGAGACATTACATCATTTGCCCATGATCACAGTTAGTAAATAGTGTGTACATTATCCACGATGATAAGAGTCTATGCACATTATGTTGTACTCTTTTAAAAAGATAAATAAGCCCGGCCTAGTGATGCAGGCCTATAATCCCAACTACTCAGGAGGCTGAGGCAAGAGGATTGCAAGCTTGACTTGGCTACAAAGTATGTTCAAGGACAACATGGGCAACTTAGTGAGAACCTCTCCCAAAGTAAAAAGTAAAAAAAAGTGTTGGGAGGCATAACTCCATGATAGATCACTTGCCTAGCATGCATTAGGCCCTGGGTTTAATTTGTGGCTAAAGGGGAGGGGAGAGGAGAGGAGAGAGAGACAGAGACAGAGACAGAGACAGAGACAGAGACAGAGACAGACAGAGACAGACAGAGACTAGGAGGAAGGGAGGGAGGCAGGTGAGTAGATAGGTTGGTTCATTCATTCAAAGAAGTATATATAATTTTGACCTGCCCCCATGAATAATATGGTGAAAGTTTAGGTAAGTGCACAATAAGAAAACAATAAAAAGTAGGAGATAAGATGGGAGATGTAGTATCTAAACCATGAAAGTCTTTTCTAGAAATTTTCTCTTTTACCTATAGATTAGCATTCTGTGCAAAATGGGCTAAAGTGAGTTAGATTAAAGATGGGGAGACTATTTAAGAGTACAGATGGAATGATTCTTGTTAGAAGTAATAAGGATTTAAACTAAATTTGTACCAAAGAGAATGAAGGCCCCTGAGAGGGTACTCATGCAGAATACGGTCCTACACTCATGCGCATACTGGCAACGCTAAGAGGATTCAGCTGATCAAAAACTGATGAGGTTGGGAGGGAAAAGTGGTGGTGGGATAAGGAAGGAGTTAAGAGTGTTGAGGATGGAGGGTGGACTTGATCAAAACACGTTATCTGTATTATGAAATTCTCAAATAGTTTCTAAAGGAGAGAAAAGAATAAAGGTGATGGTTTTTCATTACGATTCTCAGACAGTGATTAATTTAATGTGAAGCTGCATGATGCAGGGACAGTTTAAGGATGAGTCTTGACTTTACAACTAGTTAGTGTTCAAAATAGAAGAGGGAAGGGAGCCTGTGTAGAGAAAATCTGCTCGGTGGCCTGTCTGCCTGCTAGAATTCCAATGGCACTTGTCATGTAGAGAAGAAATTATTCTTCTCTTTGTTTCTCAGTTTATTCTGTGTTCATAAAAATACCAGGTGTGCCATGCTTTGGAGTCGTTAAAAGCCCAGAAGCATACTTGTGTATAATTTTAAGAATGCCTTGTCTCTTGTCTTTGATATAGTCCTTGGAGCTAAAGGAACATACTTCTGGCTTCCTCTCTAATTCCCTGCAGCCTTGTTTGGTATTAATTCCCACAACCCTGGCACTGTTTGCTGTTGAAAGGGTGTTCTGCTTTCAGTGTTCTGGTACATCTAATACTCTGTGCAATCGTGGCAGAGACAGATGGCCATCTTGTACTGTTGCCAGCCATCTGTTGCTGTAGTCAGTCACAAACTCAGACTCTTGTCTTCCTTATTAGTGTATTCAGAAGACAGTGTAGAGAAGGAACAAAGATCTGGTTGCATAAAATGAAGTGAGTTATCTGAAATAAAGGCAAACTGTGCTTTGGTGTATGTTGTTTTGTGAGCTAGATGGCATGTATGAAAGCTAATCTTAAGGGAATACATTTAAAGAGGTATCAGAAACAGGAAAGCTACTAATCTGAACAGATGACTTACCCAGCATGGGAGTGGAAAAATTGTGGAACACAAGGGACACTGATATTTGTGGAAGAAAGAAGTTGTTCAGTAAGGTCTGAATAAAGAGAATTCCAGATAACAAGACAGCACACACACATTAAGAATGTTGATTATGAAAATGGGTTTCATAAGGAGAGTATGCACTTGGAATCGGTGGAATTTCAAAAATGACTGAACCACATTCTGTAAACCCTCTTTGATTATAAGGCTTAAAACGTGAAATGCATCTGCTGTGCAGCCCCCAAACAAAGTCTGATTGAGAGAGTGGTAAAAACTCAGGGTCACAAAAGTCCTGGAAAGAAAAGGAAAAATCAGGTTCTTAATTCACTTGAACATAGAATGAAGAAGACACAAAACTAACATCAGAACTCTGGGATGTTTTTATGTAACACTAAATAGTATATCTTTGTTCTTAGTTATTATTAATTTTTAAAGATGTTATTTTTAGTGCAGGTTTAAGTTTATAGCAGTATTGAGAGGAAATATAGAGATTTCCCATGCACTTCCCATACAACACAGCTGCTCCAACCAGAGTGGTCCACTTGCTACTGTTGGTAAATCTAAACCAATGGACCATCATCACCCAAGGTCCATGGTTTACATTCACAGTCAGTCTTGATGTTTTAGAAAACGTTGAATATTGATATAGATTTGATAACCCCTAAGTTTTTTAATATCAAAAATTAAAAGCAAAGTAAGATTATATGTCAAATAAACTGGAGGATACATTTCTGACATATTATTACAAAGGACTTGTACTAGAGTTTGATGTGTAGTTAACAGACTACTAAAAAATAGAGGAAGACTGCTGAACATGATAGTATGTGTCTGTAATCCCAATACTCAGGAGGCAGAGGCAGAAGGATCACTGTAAGTTCAAGGTCAAGCTAGTCTCCCCACCAAATTACATGTTACCCTGTTTCAAATAAAACTACAAACATATGAATGAATTATATCAGGAAAAAGCCAGCTGGGTGATGAATATACTACTGAGATTACAGACTTGAATAAAATGAGCAGCTAAGTCTGTTTTAAAGAAAGCACCTTGAGGGCTGGAGATAATGGCTCAGGACTCAGGTTCAACTCCCAGCACCCACATGGCAGCTAACAACTTTCTCTAACTCCAAGATCTGACACCCTCACACAGACACACATGCAAGTAAAACACCAAATGAAAATAAAAAAATAAATATGTAAAAGGGAAAACAGAGTAGTAAAATGTATGTGTGAGTGCTAGCTAGTCTTATGCCAATTTGATACAAGGTATCGTTATCTGAAAGGAAGGAATCCTCAGTTTAGAAAATGCCTCCATAAGATCCAGCTGTAAGACATTTTTCTTAATTAGTGATTTATGGGGTGGGTCCAGCCCATTTTGGGTGGTGCCATCCCTGAACTGGTGGTCTTGGGTTCTAAAAGAAAAAAGGCTGAGCAAGCCATGAAGAGCAAGCCGGTAAAATAAGCAACACCCCTGCTTCCAGGATCCTGCCTTGTTTGAGTTTCCTGTCTTGACTTCCTTTGGTGATGAACAGCAATATGGAAGTGTAAGCCAAATAAACCCCAACTTGCTTTATGGCCGTGGTGTTTCATCAAAGCAATAGAAACTCTAGCTAAGACAAATACCAGCATAGCGGGGTGTTGCTGTGACAGACGTGACCATGTTTTGAGGAGGATTGTGGAAGGACTTTGGAACTTTGGGCTAGAAAAGCTATTGAGTGTTAAGAGCTCAGTGGGATGTTCTGTGGGATCTTCGAAGATAGGAATGTTGAGAGCAGTGCAGGGGATGGAGGCCTGGCTTGTGTCATTTCAGAGGGAAGATTATAAAGACTATCAGGGCCATTTGCTGTTTTGATTTAAGATTCTGTCAATGTAGTTAGCGTGGGCTGAAGAATCAGCTGTGATTAACAAGACACAAGAACTGCTAAAGTGAAACCTTTGCAGTGCTTGGATACTCGATGCTAGTCAGCTGGAGCTGAGAATCTGGCGTTGATTAAGAAGAGACCAGCATTGTTAGAGTGACATCTGGGAAGTGTTTCCAGAGAGCACAGAGAAGCTGTGCTCCGGAGGTGGCCAAGGTTGTACCTTGTGCTAGCAGGCAGACTTGGTAATGTGTAGAGTCAGCCAGGTAGTACTGGTTTTGAAGGCATGAAGGGGGTCATGGAGAGCAGCTGAGGCTTGGCACTGTGAGAGGCCAGGAGAGGTCATTGGGGAAGGTGCAGCCTCAGTGGCAGTTGAAGGCCCATGATTGAAGGGGTCATGCAGAGATGCTGAGAGTACAGCCCAAGAGAGGACCCCAGAAGTTTCGGAGGTGACAGTACAATGGTGTAACCACCAAGGGTGGCAGCAGCAGCAGTGGAGTGGAGCCAACCAAAGCCCAGAAGACAAACTGTGTATGCTGCACAGGGTGGAGCATAGGAAGTGGTCTTTGGAGGGGCCCAGAAGATCGTGAGTGGATCCCAGACATTGGACATTGCGTTGTTTCCACAGTTGGAGTTTGGTTTGCTTTGATTTGATTGTGATTGTGCCCTGGTTCTTCACTCTATCATTTTGATTTTTACAGCAGCCCGCAACTGAAAGACCTTGGACTTTTAAAAGAGGTTTTGGATTTTTAGAGAGATTAGATATTTTAAAGAGACGGAAATTTTAATGGATTTGGATTTGGAAAGACTGTGGTACTTTTAAAGTTACTTTTTATTTTAACGTGAGATATTGATGTATAAGAAAGGAAGGATTGTGGCCTACTAGTGGTGTGATTTTGTGTCAAGTTGACAAGGGATCAGTTGTGCTGGCTAGTCGTGTCAACTTGACACAAGCTAGAGTTCTTTATAATGAAGGAACCTCAACTGAGAAAATGCCTCCATAAGATACAGTTATAAGGCATTTTCTTAGTGATTGATGGGGGAGGGCCCAGTCCAGTGTAGGTGGTGCTTGTGTCAAGATAACACACAAAACCAGCCAGTACGTAAGAAAACAATTATAAGAAGTAGCACAGTGATAAGCTGATAGAAAATTTCACGGTGCTAAGTCAAATTTGTCACTTTTTGGATGAAGAGATTGCTTAGTGGATAGCAGAGTACTTGGCTGTGAAAGCAAGAGGCTCTGAGCTGAAATCCCCAGCACCCACGTGTCTTTGCAGCCTGCAACCCCAGTACCATGTGGTGAAGACAGGCCCGTTTCTGGAGTTCAATAGCCATCTAGCCTAACTGAGATAATGGAGCTTTGAGTTCAGTGGGAGACCCTGCTTCAAAACATAGGGTACAAGGGACCAGCATAATGGCTCAGTGGGTAAGGGCACTAGCCACTCAGCCTGATAACCTTAGTGCTATGTGCAGGATTCATATGTTGGAAGAAGAGAGCCAACTCCTTCAGTTGTCCTCCAGTTTCCACAGGCACACTGTAGCAAGTAATTACCCCCACACGTAATGCAACAATTAATTAGTTTAAGATGGAGAGTAATAAAGGAAGACACCCACCATCCTCCTTAAGCTTCTGCCATGTGTGTACAGAGAAAGGTGTGTGTCTCTGCACACACACAAAACTTCACACTTGAGAATTGAATCATCAAGTCACAAAAATAATCACAGAAAGCAAAAACTTGTAAAATAGTTAAATGACCAACAACCCATTCCACAGAATATAATGCGGCTGTTAAAAACCACATTGAGATGATGGTTTAAAACCAAAACAAACAAAAACCAGGCCTGATGGTGCACACTCACAATCCTATGCAAGAAGGTAGAAGTAGAATTCTTGGGACTTTCTGACCAGGCAGCCTAGCCTAATTATTGAACTGCAGGTCGTGTTGAGAGAGATCTTGTCTCTAAAAACAAGGTAGTGGCTAGAGAGGTGGCTCAGATGTCAAGAGCATTTGCTGCTCTAAAGAGGACCAGGTTTGATTCCCAAAACCTACGTGGTGGCTCACCACCATCCACGACTCCAGTTCCAGGGGATCTGATGATACATATATGGTACACATACATACATGCAAACAAAACACTCATACACATAAAATAAATCTGAAAATTTTTGATGTATTTTGTATTCAGGCAAAACATTCACACATCACAAAATACATCAAAGATAAAAAATTTCAGATTTATTTTATGTGTATAATACATATATGTACACCACATATGTACACCTGTTACATTCCCTGAAACTTGGATTATGAACTGTTGATATCCAAGATATGGGTGCTGGATCCTCTATAAGAACAAGTACTCTTAAATACTGAGCCATCTCTGCAGCCCTAAAAAAGGCATGTTGAGTTAGGTATTGTATAATGAAGACATGTAATGCCAGCCCTCTGGAAACTGAGGCAAGATTTTTCTTAGTAGGTAGGCTTGGCTGTATACATGACTGTCTCCAAAACAAGACAAGAAAATGTAAACATAGAACTAGAAAATAGATGAAAGGATGTTACATGAAAACACAAGTTTCAACATCATGTTTATAATTATAGTATACGTTCTGAAAGTAGGTGTGTAGGCAAAGACTGGAGAGATGGCAAAGCAGTAGGAACAGTTCTGTTGTGTTTGCAGAGTGAGCAGGGTCATAGGCTTCTATTCCTTTTCCTGTTTTGATTTTTAAGGATTTCTTTGTATTTTATGTGTAAGATTGTTTTTGTCTGCATGTGTGCACATATGGGTTTGGTGCTCAAGGAGGCCAGAACAGTGTGTCAGATCCCCTGGACCTGGAGTTACAGTTGTGGGGGTTGGGTTCTTAACCACTGAGCCACCTCTCCAGACTCCAATTTGCCAGTATTAAGCACTTTTAGTTAATATTCAAATGGCAATTCATAAATGAAGGGATTTTTCTCCAGAGAGATTTCTTTGGGCTTTTAAGTCTTTTACTGTGAGAAACATGTGTTTCATGGTTCAGGCTCTCTCCTTAGCAGATGATTTACCTTACTCCTGGGCTCTTTTCGCTATCAGAGAATTTTCCTGTTCAGCCTGGATAATAGAAAGCTTTCCTTATGTATACACTGATATTTATACGCTCATCATTTTTAGAGTCCATGATTGTAACACAACTGCTTCTTCCTTTGTCCATGAGTCTATTGCATTAAGTCATGCATCTTTGTTTCTGTTTTCTGATAGGCAGATTGATAAGGGTAAGAGGACTGAAGGGCCTGGTGCACCAACACTGACCAGGCGCTGTGTTATAACAGCTTCCATTACCTTTTATTACCTCTTATAACTTGTGAGAGTTAAAAAGAGCCTCACTGATTTGCTGTAAGGGAGAATATCCTGTATGGCTCAGTACAAGCTCTTGAAATTTTATAACAGTTCAAAGGCAGGGTCTCTTTGTGGTAACCCTGGCTGTCCTGGAACTTGGCCCTATAGATCAGGCTGACCTTGAATTCAGAGATCCACCTGCCTCTGCCTCCTGGGTGCTGGCATTAAGGGTGTGCACTACCACCTTCGGCTAGGACTAAGATTTTTAAGAAGCGCTCCCTAATTGAGCCTCCAACCCTGAAATTAAGGATGGATGGGACTGAAGAGATGACTCAGGTTAAGAGCACTGGCTGCTCCTCCAGAGGTCCTGAGTTCAATTCCCAGCAATCACATGGTGGCTCACAACCATATATAGTGGGATTTGATACCCTCTTCCTAAGGGTGTACATGCAGATAAAGCATTCATACATTAAATAAATAAGTCTTAAATAAAGGGATAGATCAACCACTAACACCTTCATTGTCACCCTGCTTTCTCTGACACTCAGGACACCCTCATTCTGTCCCACTGTGAGGCTCTTGGGAATCTAGATATGTAATTTTTTAATGCAGTCCTTCCCATTTTTTCTTTCAATTGATAATAAACCTGATTTAGCCTAGGTAAGAAATTGTGGTAGAAATAAAAATGGATCATTAATGGTCATAATACTTTTAGATCATGGAATATTAACTTTGAAGGTTTCAGCTGTAAGACAGGTGAAAGTCATGCCTCTTTGTTTACAAATAGGATTCCACTGTACCCACACTGATAATCATTGCTGTGTTATGTCTGTGAACAGGTTCCTGGTGTAAATTTGCCTGTCAATCAACTGACTTACTTCTTCGCTGCAGTCCTCATTAGTGGTGTTGTACATGAAATTGGACACGGTATAGCAGCTATTAGGTAATAAGGCTTACCTTTTCTTTTCTACTACATGCAAAGAAGTTTTTATTTAAAAAAAGATTTATTCCTCAAATATAGTATATTTTTGAGTTTTTTTTTCTTCTGGTAGATATCACTCAGTGTATGCCCACCACTTATTACTTTGGGGTAGTGTCTCTTTTATAGAAAAAAATGTTGCTGATTTGTCCTTCTAATCATGTGATCATCTATATTCTAAGTCTTTCTGTCTTTTGTGTTTTGCCAGCATGATTATGATCTGTGTGCTTCAGGGTTTTTCATCTGGTCTTTATTTTTAAAACTGTATTAATTCATTATATATGTGTCTGCCTGCATGCACATGCTGTGGCATGCTTGTGGAACCTGTGGGAGCCATTGTTCTTCTGCCATGTGGGTCCCAGAATTCAAACAGCTCACAGGATTGACAGAAAGCTCCCTTATCCACAGAACCATTGTGCTGACTGCTCTTATAGTATTCACTGAACTCAACTCTCTGCCACTGCTTAGAGTATTTTCTGGGGGGGGAGTAGGTATTCAGAAGGAAAGGTCTCTTTGGCCTAGGCTAGCCTCAAACTCAGGGTCTTCCAGCCTCGGTCTTCCACGTATTAGGATAGTAAGTGTGTGTCACTGTACATGGCTCTACCTTATCAACTGAAACAATTTCCTGTTTCTATTCATGTCCCATGTTGGCTAGAATAAAAAGCTAGAAGTGCTCAGTTCAATGATATCATATCTATACCTAACTAGAAATCCAGGTGGAAGATAGAGGATGAGACCTGGGACTGACTTTGGGAATCATGCTGTGTTGGTGGTTTTGACTACCCAAATGTATCTTTCTTTTTACACCCAACTAATTAAGATGGGAAGAAGGCAAGGGTGGTCACTACTTCCCTGATACCCCATGGCAATTCCTGCCATAATCAGAAACATGCCGACAGGCATCTTTTCTCCTTTGTGTATATGGACCAGGGAAAAGGCAAATCAGGAGAAGTTTGTTATTGTTTTCCAGTTGCTTATAAACAAATCTAGCTTCTGATAGTAAACATTCATCTTAACACAGCATGTTTGAACAGATGTGCATACTACTGGTTTAAAGAGGCAGTTATCTTAGCTGGGCAGTGCTGGCGCACGCCTTTAAGCCCAACACTGGAGGCAGAGGCAGGCAGATCTCTTTGAGTTCAAGGCCAGCCTGATTTACATAGTGAGTTCTGGGACAGCCAGTGCTGCACAGAGAAACTCTGTCTCAAAAAAAGGCAGTTATTCTAAAAAAATTTGGTATGTGTTATGTGATTGTAGGAGTGGGTGTGCATACATGTGCCACAAGTGTGGAGGTTAGAGAACAATCTTTTAGGAATCATTTCTCTTCGTACAGGTGGACTCCTAGAGTTGAGCTCAGGTTGTCAGGTTTGAAAGCAAGCAGCTTTATTACTGAGCAATCTCACTAACCCTGGTTACCTTTTATAAATTTCATTTTTGTTTCTATATATTTAGCCTTGTAACCCTTAAGGTTTTACATCTAGATGTATTATTAATAGTTTCATAAATTATAGTATTTTTGTGAAACAACTTGGATAACTTTTAAAATACAATATTTTCTATTTCTTCTTTGAGAATTTCACATCTGTGTATGATACATTTTGATCTTCTCTGTCCCTTACTCCTTGCCTCCAATTCCTCTCAGACCGCCCCCATATCTCCTTCCCAAGTTCTGGCCCCACCACTTAGTAACCCACTAAGTTCAGGTAGTGCTACCTGTTATGTGCATGGTTATAGTGCCTTCCACTGGAGCTTTGGCAATCTCCAGAAACCGTCACCTACCAGTAACTTCACAGCTAGGGGAAATGCCTCAATAACTTCTCCCCTGTTCATGCTGTACTGTTGACAGGTTTGATCTTGTGGTCTTATGTAGACAGCTATGGCTGTTGTGAGTTCTAGAAGACAATGTTTTGCAGCAATCCTTCCCAAACTCTAGGTCTTACCATCTTTCTGCCTCCTCTTCTGCAGTGTTTGCCTGATCCTTGAGGGAATGGGTTTGTGACTTCAGTGTCCCATTTACAGCTGAACACTCTCATAGTCATTTGTGCTCTGCACTTTGACCAGTTGTGAGTCTCTGTTTAACTGCCATCCATTGCAAAAATTAAACAGCAAGTATCTCTGATGATGATTGAGAACAGCACTAATCTATGTATATAAAGATGATTCATTATTTAGAAGGCAGGTTAATACTATATCTATTTAACAAAACAATAACAGTAAGTTCTTCCTTAGGGCCTGTGACCTGCTGCCATTGTTACTGCTCTATTACTTTGAAGAGACTATTACCAAAGCAACTCTTATAAAGGAAAGCGTTTAACGAGGGGCTTGCCTACCGTTTCAGAGGTTTAGTCCACTATCTTCAATGGCAGGGAACATGGAGGCACACATAGCACTGGAGCAGTAGCTGAGAGCTCTGATTTCTGATCTGCAGGCAGAGAGAAAGAGAAAGAGACTGGGCCTGGCATGGGCTTTTGAAACCTCTAAGCCCCCAGTGACACACATCCTTCAACAAGGCCACACCTTGTATCCCTTCTAATCATTTCAAACTTCTACTCTGTGGTGACTAAGCACTCAAATATGTGAGCTTTTGGTGGCCATTCTTATTAAACCATCACACCTCCCCATGCGCAGGATTTTAGCCAGGTTTAGTAGTAGCAAGAATGAGTTCCCTCCTGTGGAGCAAGCCTGAATCCAATCAGAAAAGTGGTTGATTATCCACATAACAATCTTGGCACAAGATTTACAGCTGGGTAAGACCATTGATGATTTTTCTGCCCTAACAGACTGCATAGCATTGTCTACAACCATAGTACCTGTTTGTCCTGTGAGACTATTAAATATATATATATATATTTTAGAAATGAAATGGTGGGAAAACTCCTTTTTTATTTTTTAATTTTTAATTTTTAAATTTAAATTTGAATTAGAAACAAGGTTGCTTCATATGTCAATTCCAGGTCCTTCTCCCTTTCCCTCCCCTCCTCCTGTGCCCTCCCACCAACCCTTCCAATATCCCCTCATTTCCCCAGGGAGGGTGAGGCCCTCCATGGGGGTGTCCATAGTCTGTCATCTCATCCAGGGCTGGGCCTAGACCGGGAAAACTCCTTTTAAGAATTATTTTGCTGGGCTGTGCTGGCGCACGCCTTTAATCCCAGCACTTGGGAGGCAGAGGCAGGCGGATCTCTGTGAGTTCGAGGTTGGGCTGGACCAACAGCCTCCAAAACAGTACAGAGAAACCCTGTCTCATAAAACTAAAAAAAAAAAAAGAATTATCTTACCACTGATTATTTTTAAAAGCAGTAAACATTAGCTCAACAGAAATATACTTACATAAATCTTGAGGATTATTTATAATAACTAAGACAAATGTGTTTGAGTCATATATTTGAGTTATGTATTCCGTCTTGTCCTCCTCTGAAAATAGTTTATAGTACTCTATGAATTTCTGTCATTGATTTTTCATAGACGTATTAGCTGCATGTTTATATGTATCAATTTCAATAATATATTCAGCAATAGCAAATTCCTAAAAATTTGGCATTTTAAGTATATTTCAGAGTTCTCTAAAGCCTAGGCCAAAACTTTATTACACTATTTTAAAGTTATTATTAGTTTTTATTTTATGTTTTATTTATCCAAGGAGATTATTTTTTAAAATTTTAACTACAGTGAATTTTAAGATTACATCATTATTAACTTAACAAATACTATAATATCAGTAAATTCCTTTTTCTTATTGTGTTTTCTTACATGTTTTCTTAGGGAACAAGTTCGATTTAACGGCTTTGGAATTTTTCTCTTCATTATTTATCCTGGAGCATTTGTTGATCTGTTCACCACCCATTTGCAACTTATATCACCAGTCCAGCAGCTAAGGATATTTTGTGCAGGTAACAAATTGCCTTCATTGTTTTTTAAATGTTTATGTGTTGTTTGGGTTTTGATTTTCTGTGGTTAGTGATTTTATTGAAAGTACTTTCGTGAAAAATAACATTTGCTTAATAAATTCAGCTTCTCATACTACCTCAAAAGCAAATTTTTTGGTTTTGTTTTTTGTTTGTTTGTTTTTTGAGACAGGGTTTCATTGTGTTGAACAGTCTTGGCTGTCCTGGAACTTACTCTGTAGACCAGGCTGGTCTTGACCTCAGAGAGAGCCACCTGCCTCTGCCTCTGCCTCCTGAGTGCTGGGATTAAAGGCATGCACCAGCACCACCTAGCCAAAAGCAGTTTTTTTGAAACCAGCATAAATTATAAAATATTTAAATTAAAAGCAGAGGAGAAAAATTCATGTTTACTGAAGCAAAGGAATGGTCAAAACCTGAAACTACAACTATGAAGAAGGTCAACTTAGCTGAACTACACGAAGAAATGTGCAAAAGTCAAGAAAGAACATGAAAAGTCAGTCACATGATAAATCATAATTCAAGAGCGAAGAAAAGATGGTATGCAAGGATTGATGCTGAACTCTAGCACTGTTCGAGTTCAACTAGACAGAAAGACTCACCTGGAGATATACAGTTATGTAGGGGAGAAATTCTGGGAAAAACTGATCCATCTCAGCTACAGGAACCCAAGACAAATCTACCACAATTCTACATCTCATTAAATGGAGTAACTAAGGCTAAGCAAGTGTGGAAATAGAATTATTGAACAGAATGTGGTATACGATAACTAACCCATGGGGGGGGAAAGAATTGAGGTGGGAGCCAATAACATGGCTTAGTGAATTATTGCTGCCAATCCTAATTGACCTCAGTTTGATTTCTAGGTTCTATGTGGTAGGAGGGAGAGAACCAACATCTACAAATTATTCTCTGAATTCTGTGTTCATGCCATGACATGTTTGCATGCACAAAGTAAATAAAATATAATCAAAACTTCTTTAAAGGCTATAGAGATGGCTTAGATCTTAAGAGTACTTGATGATCTTGAAGAGGACCTGGATTTGGTTCTCATTACCCACATGGTGTTTCATTGCTATCCTTAATTCAGTTCTAGGGACCTCAGTGACCTGACCTCCATAGGTCAAGAGGGCAAAATATTCACACATATAAAATAAATTACTCATAAAAATTAATTTGTTTCTTTAAAAATAAGTGGAGATGAGCCGGGTGGTGGTGGCGCACGCCTTTAATCCCAGCACTCGGGAGGCAGAGGCAGGCGGATCTTTGTGAGTTCGAGGCCGGGCTGGACCGATAACCTCTGAAACAATACAGAGAAACCCTGTCTCGTAAAAACCAAAAAAAAAAAAAGTGGAGATGAATAAAGTAAAAGCAGCAAGTCTACGTGCTAATTCCCTCATTTCCTTAGCTGTGTGAATCAGATAAGTAAGATAAAGTCAAATAGTGTTTTGAGTGTATAAGTACACATTAAATTATCTGAAAAATACATTTAAATATTTCAAGTGATAATAATGAATGAAGAAAAAAAAGACCTTATATCAAGTGATAAAATAAACCAACATTAAAAAACAAAATATTTGTTTTCCTTATATCATTATAAATTACCCCAAATACAAATGATATTAGTTATGTTATTAAAATGTCAGGCTAAGATATAGTTTACTGGTAAGGTGCTTGCCTACCATCTGTAAGGCTCTGGGTTTGATCACCAGCACTACAAAAAAGCCATTAGTTTAGATTTTAAAAGTATCCCAAATTTGTGATGTGTAGAAAAATCTATCTAAAATTACTCAAATATTGGAAAGTAAAACATCAGAATATTCTATGCAAATAATAAAAGTCACTTAATAATAATAAGGAATATAGAGTCTTATTCTATGAAATACTAAATCAGAACACCAAACAAAATGGAAAAAGTAAGAGAACAAATATAAATATGTGTTCATCTCATAAGATAAGTATAAAAAAGTAAGACCATGGGATCTCATAATTAGTTATATAAAATAGGTAAGTTAGGTTATATGTTATAAACACAGACAATTTCTTTTTAAATGCCCATGGAGTTGACAAACAAAAAAGTCCATATATTCACAAATCTCAAATATAAGAATAATAGCAGGATAATTTAGTAATGTGTCGTAATCACACATTGAATCTGTTGCTGGATTTTCTTATCCCATCAGGTCCTGCCACCCTTAAGACTCAAATAAACACACAGAGACTTGTATTAATTATAAAACTGTTGGTCAATGGCTAGAGCTTCTTATTGGCTAGCTCTGTCTTAATTGTTAACCTATAACTACTAATCTATGTATTTCTACATGGTCTTTTCTTACTGGAGAATACCTGGTGTGTCCTATCCTCCTAGTCCCTCCATAGCATCTTTTTCTGCCTACCTTTCCCAGAATTCTCCCCATCTCCTAGCCCCACCTATCTTCCTGCCTCTATCAGCCAGTGTTTTATTCATCAACAATAAGAGAAACATATATACAGAAGGACATCCCCCATCATGGATCCATTTAATTAAACTTAGTAGCTTGATATGATAGTTATGATTAATTATTCCTAGATACTAGTAATGAGATCCTCTTACTAGAATATAGTATAAAGATTTTTACTAAAAGAAATTCAATGCCATACAGCTATTATAAAATTAGAAATGGAAATAAGTCAGTTAGGCAATTAACTTAAGAAATATGAAGACAAGTATGAAATAAGTAAGAAGTAATAAGGACTAGAGAGATGGCTCTGAGGATAAGAGGATTTGTTGCTCTTGCAGAAGACCTGGCTAGCTTAGGACCTAGTTCCCAACACCCACATGGAGGTTTACAATTTATCTTTAACTTCAGGGACAGGGAATCTGATGAATTCTTTAGACTGCTACAGATACCAGGTATGCATGTGGTCCATGTACATATATATATATACAGAGAAAATAATCACACAATGAGGTAATTAATATTGATATAATCAAAAATAAGAAATTACAGAAGACCCAGAGTGTTAAATCCAAATTATTTGGAAAAAATAAATAAAACATTAAGCAACAGGGAGAAAAACATTATTGACAGAAACTATATTCAGATTGGTGAATAATATTTGATATATAGGGAGCAAATTATATCATTTTAGTATTTTTGTTCACTGACAAAAGTTTTCACAAAAAATGAAGAATTATAAGAATATAAATTAAATAGACTAATAATTACAAGAGAAGAAATTATTAAAATTGATAAAGAATTTCCCTAAAAGTTTTATAGGTAGAATAATAAAATTATGAATAAACTTTTTTCTTAAAAAAAGATTATGTGTGATATATGCCATAGTAATCAAAAATATATCATATTAAGTATGTTTTTAAACATTAAATAATTGCTGAATGTCATTGTAGTAGTACTTTTCCTTTGATATTATAGTACAAAGCAGTTATAATACATAGGAAACAATGTTTATTAGTTCACTGGCAATGTTTATATCGAAGCAAGTATTTAGATATACACAGCAGTTATGGTGTATTTTATAAAGTTAACTTTCCAAAGTATTATCATAATTCAAAAGTTTAAGTGGCATGCATAGCACTCAGCAAATATTCTCAAAATAGTTCAAGCATATTTTATAGTTTTCTCTACAATTTTGTCCCATATACATGCATTTTTATCAGTAATAAAGTAAAAAGGAAAAGAAAATTTAGCATAAACTTTTTTCAGATTGTATACAGAAGGCGGCTAAGTTTTTCTATCGTTTTAATTGTTGTAGTTGGATTTTTGTGGAGGATTTGGGGTTTTTTATTTTGTTTTCGAGATGTGATCTCACTATGTAGTCCAGTCTGATCCGAACACAAGATCTTCCTGCCTCTACCTTCAGAGAGCTGAGAGTGTAGGCATATGCCTTCTAATGCCTAGCAGAAATTAAGTTTTGTTTTGTTAAGAAAATGCAGCACTGATAATTTTTTTGTGGTAAAGCACAAAGTATTTCAAGAATACTTTGACATTTGTGACATTTGAAAATGAAAATGTACTATCAGGGAGAATTTTCCTCATCTAAGATGTTGATTAAAACAAAATTAACATATTAATATTTTTAATATCAGTTGAATATTTCATGTATTTATTATAATAAAGGGCAAAGCCGGGCATTGGTGGCAGGCACCTTTAATCCCAGCACTTGGGAGGCAGAGGCAGGTGGATCTCTGTGAGTTTGAGACCAGCCTGATCTACTGAGCGAGTTCCAGGACAACCTCTAAAACAAAACAGAGAAACCCTGTCTCGAAAAAATAGAAAGACAGACAGGCAGGCAGGCAGGCAGGCAGGCAGACAGACAGACAGACAGACAGACAGACAGACAGACAGACAGATATTAGATATTAGATAAATAAACAAATATATAAATATTAATGGACAAAATAACCATATTATTCATGGCATGTATATTAGTAAGTCTTGTGGTTAAATAAGGGGAAATAAAAATTATAACGGGGCTGAGGGTATAGCTCACTGTTAGGGTGCTTATATAATAAGCAGACACAAAGTGTAAAATTAAAGAGGAATAGACTTTTCATTTTTTCTAGATGTGATATAAGCCTGGCTGAGGGGAGGTAAGAAAATCAACTGAAATAAAATAAGGAAACTTCATTAAAGAACCTAGAAGAGAAATTTATATTTAGTCAGCAATTAGACAGGACAGCACAAAAAACCAATGCAGGCTTCACAAGCCCTGCAGAAAAGTGGTGCGATTATTTAGACATACGTGGAAGATGTTTGACGGACGGTCTGTCGCAGTACAGTGACGTATATAGTGGCGCGTCAAGTGACGTTGCAGTGATGCATACAACGCATGCGTTTTTCTCCTCCCGGAAACAGCACTTACCCCCTCAGACGACGGCAGCTTTTCTCCGAAGCAGACGCATTTCGTCAAGCTCTTGGGTTTGTTTTTCTTGTTGTTTTCTCGTTGTTTTCTCATTGTTGTTGTTGTTGTTGTTGTTGTTTCTAAGCACGCAAGAGCGTGCTTTTCCTTCCTGATTTTTTTTCTACTCCACAGCCATCTCCCACCTGCTTGCTACCCAGCACCGCTACGTGGGTCTCAGCCATGGCCTCAGAGAAACTTCTCTGTGTCACCACAGAAAATGCAGAGATTCCTTCCGACCTTGTGGAGCTGCAGCCACTCAATGTAGAAGCGGTTTCTGTGGAAACCAATGCAGTTCAAACCATCGAAGTGTACCAAGACGCAGGTGTCGATTGGGCACATGGTGGCCACTACCACTCTCCTCTTATCGCTCTGCAGCCCCTTGCTGCCAGCACCCTGAGTAATGGGGCCCATGATCAGGAAATGATCATCGTGCAGACACGAGAGGAGGTGGTGGGCTACCAGGACTCAGACAACCTGCTAATCAGTGCTGAATTTGAAAGCCAAATGGTTGTTCCAGCTGTTAATCAAGGTGACTATCTCCAGCCGACGACTGCCTCTTTGTCGGGCTTCGTGGCATCAGCGCATGGTCAAGGTGAGCTCAACCCCTGTGAAGGGAATCTCTGTGGTTTGACGACCGTGATCGAGGCTGGTAAAGAAGTCGCGAGCCCTGACCTGGTCGACAAACAGTGGGAGCAGAAGCAGGGAGAAATTGAAGCTCTGGAAGGAGAATTACCCTTTGCTATGTGGGAGGTTACTGAACAAGAAGATCTCATGGCTGAAAAGCAGGCTGGCGACTCGCCTCCTGATTATTCCGAGTATATGACAGGAAAGAAATTTCCTCCTGAAGGAATACCTGGCATTGACCTGTCCGATCCCAAACAACTGGCAGAATTTACAAGCATGAAACCCAGAAAGCCTAAAGGAGACTTTCCAAGACCTATAGCTTGCTCTCATATAGGCTGCGGGAAGATGTTCAAGGATAACTCTGCTATGAGAAAGCATTTGCATATCCATGGGCCTAGAGTGCACGTCTGTGCGGAATGTGGCAAATCTTTTGTTGAGAGTTCGAAGCTGAAACGTCATCAGTTGGTTCACACTGGAGAGAAGCCCTACCAGTGTACCTTTGAAGGTTGTGGGAGACGGTTTTCCCTGGATTTCAATCTGCGCACTCACGTGCGAATTCATACCGGTGACAAGCCCTTTGTGTGCCCATTTGATGCCTGCAACAGGAAGTTCGCTCAGTCGACCAACTTGAAATCGCATATCGTAACACATATTAAGAGCAAGAATGACCACTAAAAAGAAGTGAGAAGATCCTGGGAACTATTTTACACTAATGTGCCTGGGGATAAATATGCCTCATTTGAAGTTTCTACGAAAGTTCTTGCAAATGAATTCTATATATCTGAGGTTTATCTTTTGATAGAGTAAGAGTTAAAAGTTTATGTTGGTAAAATGCCCTATTTTGTGCTTCAGTGGTATTTTGTGAAGTTTGGTTTCAACAGGATAGACTAATTTACTAACTTCACATTGTTGCTGAGATGCCACATGTTTTGTACTGATATTTCTCAAAGCTTGGTTTCAACAAAAGACTAACTTACAAACCTTATATTGTAGCTAAAGATGGCCTGTGTTATTTTACCCTGTGGTTTTGAGAAGTTTGGTTTCAACAGGAGACTAAGTCATGAACCTTATATTGCTAAAATATTCTGTCTTCTGCAGTGGTCTTTTTATGAAACTGGCTTCAACAAGAGACTTTCACAAACTAGATATGCTGAAATGACCTACTTTATTCTGCTGTGTTTTTATGAAACTTGCTTTCAAAAGGAGACTAACTCATGCACCACATTGTTTCTAAAGATGTCCTGTGTTATTTTGCTCTGAAGTATTTTGAGAAGCTTGATTTCAACAGGAAACTAAATCACAAACCTCATTGTTGCTAAGATGCTCTGTGTTTTCGGGGTGACTTTTTGTGGTTTGGTTTCAACAGGAGACTGTTATAAACCTCATATTGCTAAGTGTTGAAGTTTGTTTTCAACAAGAGACGATTTCACGAACTTCGTATGCTAAAATGACCTGTTTTATTCTGCAGTGGTGTTTTTATGAAACTTGCTTTCAACAGGAGACTACCTCATATTGATAAGGTGTCCTGTATTCTAAAGTAGTGTTATTGTAAAGTTGGTTTTGACAGGAGAATAATTCATGAACCTCACAACATAGTGTTGCCAATATGCCCTGTTTTGTTCTGCAGTGGCATTTTTGTGAAGTTTAGTTTCAACAGGAGACTAATTCACAAGCCCCATATTTGAGATAAGATGCCCTGTCTTATTTTGCAATGATGTTTCTGTGATCTTTGGTTTTGGAAGGAAAATAACTCTCGAAATTCATGTCAAATTATATTTGTTTATACAGCTTAAAAATGGGACTTTTGCATTCTTGGGAGCCTACTTACTACTTTTTTGTTAATTATGTGTTCATGTTTATACTTTTAGGAATATGCTTAGTATTTGTATATATGGTTTCTGTGGAGTTGATGTATGTAAAAGGAAGTCTTTAAAGCATGGGTAGTTTTATACATACATATTATCCTGCTAAAGAAAAATTCTAGGTTTGCTGTCTTAATTTTGGCAGCATTCCTTAATGTCAAGACATTTTGTGAAAATTTCTTAGCCATATTATGCAGTATAGAATATTAGGTGATTAACATATTAGCCAATTTAAGCATCTTTTAGTCGCTATATACCCTCCCCTCATACTACCTAAGATGCTGTTGTTGAATGTAATTTCTTTGATCAAATAAGAGTAGTGTTTGATTTTATAGTATTTTATCTTCAAATTGATTGCATGTTTGATGTGTATTTTTGTGTGATAGAGAAAGCAAAAATAAAGTAACTGTTTGAAGAACTAAAAAGAGCTTGCTTGTGTGAATATGTTAGCTAGAAACTAAGGCAAGGGCAAAGTGTTGCTGGCATCAGGACAGTAACAATCAGTAATACTAATGATAACAAAACATCTGGAAGTGCACAGGGCAGTCAGCAGTTACAAGAAAATCATATTGCAAAACTGTCTTTTGTGTCACTATTAAAAAAAACTGTGCTCTGGAGAAAGCAAAAGTGGTAAGAAGTATTTCAGAAGTATACTTACAAACAAAGCATTAATGAACAAGGGGTTGTTTAGATGAACTAAACGTGTCTATTTCACACACATCCATTCTCACCTAGCCATCATTGGCAAATTCAGAATTTAGAGGGATAACAGTACCAACTACAAGCCTGAAAGACATCCATAAGGTCAAGAAATCAGTGTTATTGTGTGACCCCACATCTGTTCACTTGTCCATGCCTGTTTCTGTTACTAGCAACAGGGCAGTGGAAGGGCAGTATTGTGCATTAGGGTTTTTCCCCAGAGGAAATTTTAATTCATGAAATCAAAAGGGGGGTTTCCTTGGTTTTGATTGTTCTATTTGTTTTTTAGGCAAGATTTTACTCTGTAACCCAGGCTGCCTTGAAATTCACAGTGTAGTCCATGCTGGCCCGTAACTTGCAGCAACTCTGCCTCAGCTTCCCAAGACCTGATATTATAGGCATGGCTCACCATGTTTAGATTGATTTATCATTTTTTAATATTCTGTTTATTTAGTGAAGTTAGGGAGAGGCGGGTGTAACTGTGTGCACGCTGTGGCATACAGTCGAAGATCAGAAGGCAACTTAAAGGAGTATGTTCTTTTCTGCCATGTGGGACCTGGGAATGGAAACAGGTCATCAGGCTTGGCAGCAAGAACCCTTACTAATTTTGTAGTGTCATTAGCCTTTTTTTATTTCTTTTTTTTAAACGAAGCTTTGAAAGTGCTATAAGAAAGCGTGAGTATATTATTAGAAAGTGGGAAAGATTTATTACAACATGGCCATTTGACTATATTGTGGTTTGGGGTTTTGTTGCTGCTGTTTATTGGCCCAGGTTGGTCTCATTCTGATCCTCCTCACTCTGTGGACTGTTACATTGACTCCCAAGACATCCATAACTTTCCCTGATTCAGTTTCCCACTGTTTGTACCAAAAATAATTTCATCACATTAAAAAATTTACATTTAAAATAGGATGAGGTAGAATTCCCCCCTTTTATAGATGTTTGGTGGATCTCTGTGAGTTCGAGGCCAGCCTGGCTTACAAAGCAAGTTCCAGGACAGGCTCGAAAGCTACACAGAGAAACCCTGTCTCGGAAAAAAACAACTGGATTTACAACATAGTTGATAAAAATATTACTGTGGAAAGCTGGATGGTGATGGTGTACAGTGTACACCTTTGATCCCAGCACTTAGGAGGCAGAGAGTTTGATTTTGAGGTCAGCCTGGTCTACAGATGGAGTTTCAGGACAGCCAGTGGTACACAGAGCAACCCTGTCTAAAAAAAATTGCTCTGGATTGTACAAGTAGGGAGACAGACAAGATGCATGGTTTGTTGGACTTTCATACTTCAGAGGCTGGACTCGCGTTTCGGTCTCTTGGTTGTTTTTGTGCAGATAGATATTTAGTTTCTGGTTGTTTTTCTGCAGATAGATCTTTAGTTTCTTGGTCAGCCACTTCAGCCGATTTGTCCTTTGCTCTCCTCTTCCCTTGTGTTTGCATTTTTGTCTAATGAACCATCACTCTCCTCCCCAACCTCCATCCCACCCCTCTTTTTTTTTTTTGGCTTCGGGCTGGCTTTGGGAGAAGCAATTGCCAGCCCCCTAGTGGAGTATCACTTGGACTCTTTACCCCAGCTGTAGGCCCGCCTTCCTGGGAGCCCGCCTTCCTGGGAGCCCACCTTCCTGAGGCACCGCCTTCCTGGGAGCCCGCCTTCCTGGGAGCCCGCCTTCCTGAGGCACCACCTTCCTGAGGCACCACCTTCCTGGGCCCGCCTTCCTGGGAGCCCGCCTTCCTGAGGCACCACCTTCCTGAGGCACCACCTTCCTGGGCCCGCCTTCCTGGGAGCCCGCCTTCCTGAGGCACCACCTTCCTGGGCCCGCCTTCCTGGGAGCCCGCCTTCCTGAGGCACCACCTTCCTGGGCCCGCCTTCCTGGGAGCCCGCCTTCCTGAGGCACCACCTTCCTGGGCCCGCCTTCCTGGGAGCCCGCCTTCCTGAGGCACCACCTTCCTGAGGGCCCGCCTTCCTGAGGCACCACCTTCCTGAAGGCCCGCCTTCTTAGGGTCCGCCTTCCTGGAACTATCTTCATACAGCTCTTGCACATGCATCCTTACTTAGATATACAAACAGTAAAAGCAAGCTGTTTATGACAACGCTATTAAAGCAGGTTAAGTGATCTTAGTAGGGAACTTGATAAGTAAATAGGTAGGTTTATGGGTTGGAGAAATGTCGGAGCCCTTAAAAGCATGTTCTCTTCTAGATAACTTGAGTTAAGTTCCCAGCATCCATATAGTGCAGCTTGCAACCTCCTGTGGCTCCAGCTTTCGATGATACCATATATCTGGCTTCCACAAGTTCATACATAGTAATTATAAGATTTAGGGGGGAAGGGGTTGGGACACAATTTCTCTGTGTAACAGTCCTGGCTGCCCTGGAATTCACTTTGTAGACCAGGCTGGCCTCAAACTCACAGAGCCCCATCCACCTCTGCCTCACGAGTGCTGGGATTAAAGTCATACACTACTACTGCCCAGTTAATTAAAAGATTTTTTCCTCTTTCTTATTTAAATTAGAAACAATCTTGTTTTACATGTCAATCCCAGTTTCCTCTCCTTCCCCATAATTAGAAGATTTTTTTTTCTGTTTTTCTTGAGACAGGGTTTCTCTGTATTGCTTTTGAGCCTGTCCTGGAACTCGCTCGGTAGACCAGGCTGGTCTCTAATTTACAGAGATCCTCCTGCCTCTGCCTCCCGAGTGCTGGGATTAAAGGCATGTGCCACCACTGCCAGGCTTAGAAGATTTTTAATGATAAGTTTATAATGATTTCATTTGTACCAGATCTAGGTCATAGGATCGATGAGACTGCTATAATTTTGATATTTTCCATATTTGCTAACTGTATTTGATAAATAATTTTATACTGCAGCATTGACACAATTTGGTGGATAAAGTCATTTGCTGCCAAATCTAATGACCTGAGTTCAGTCAACAAGACCCTCATGGGAGAAGTAAACAACCTTCTCTGACAAGTTGTACTTTGACTCCCATGTGTATGTATACTATAGCATACATGAGCGTGCACATGCACTAAAAAATATATTTTAAATTTTTTAAATGGCTGTTTTCAAAATCTTTAAAATATTTTTAGTGTGTGTGATGTATGCACTATATGCACAGGTGTGCTCACCCAAGCATGCACTTGTGGAGTCCAGAGACTGAGGTCCGCACCTTTCTTCCTCTGCCCCATTTGGTGAGATGGTGTCTCTCACTGAACCCAGAGCTCATGGTTTTAGACTGACTAGCCAGTGAGCCCCCAGGATCTGCCTGTCTTCACCCCCAGTGCTGAAATTACAAATGGGCAGCTCTGTGCTCTACTCTTATGCAGATTCAAGGGATCTCAGTTCAGATTCTTTTTTTTTTTTTTGAGTTCAGATTCTTAAGCTTGCCCAGCAAGTGTTTTACCTACTGAACCATTTTCCCAGCCCAAAGAATTTTGCTTGCTAATTTCACCTTGACTTTCATTTGTGTATACTTGAGGTTTCTATCAAAGAACATGAGCGTGCTTAAGGATTTATATATATAATTAAGGATATGTATATATTCTATAAAGAAGGCATAGTTAGAAAATGTTGCTTCGATTTTTCTGCTCTCCCTGCTCTCTTCTCTTTCTGCTCTCTTTTCTGGTTCTGCTCTCTTTCCAGCTCTTCTCTTTCTCTCTGCTCTCCTCTCGTTGTGCTCTTTTCCAACTGTCTTCCCACTGTTCCCCTGGGGCAGACAGGACTTTTCCTGTCTCCTTTTTCTCTTCTGTCCTCTCAGTCTCTGTGTCTCTTTACCTCTTTTCTCTTTCCTTCTCCCTTCCCTTTCTAATAAAACTTCTCACTTAAAAAAGAAAGTGTTATTTCTATTTATATTAAACAATAATTGCATACAGTCTTCATAATTACAATATTATGTACATTTCAGATTTTAGTATCTGAAATGAAGGCAAACTTAGTGAGCATCTGTCTGCTGCAACAGTAAGTGGATTCCTCTGCCTCCTAGCTCCTGTTCTATTTATAATCCTACTGGAATGCCATTTGTTATGAAGCCCAGCAAACTCTCTTATTCTTTTTTGTTATATTATCCTTGCTACTCTTGAACTTACTACTTTTATTCTCTTTTCAGGTATATGGCATAATTTTGTCCTTGCTCTCCTTGGAATTTTAGCTCTTGTTCTCCTCCCAGTAATTCTCTTGCCATTTTACTACACTGGAGTTGGGGTACTTATCACTGAAGTCGCAGAGGTAAATAATGGATCACTGAGGGTGTTGTCTCACCAGATCCTCTGTGGAAATTCTTAAAATTCCTTCAAATGCAAACATAATGTTGGGAAATACATTGGATTTTTTTTAATGTCATGAAAATTGTTTTTTGTTCTGAGCTAAAGAGGTAATATCAAGATTTTGTATATGTGGCTTATTGATAAAATGCTTTGTTTATCTTTATTGTTTATTTTTATATTTCTGCTTTTCAACACTACTGAGAAGAATAATTAAGCCTAGGTCCCCCAGCCAAAACATTTTATAGGAGTTTTAAGTTATTGCCAATTCTGAGTTTTAGTAGCAACTATGATGCTGTCAAGTCTCTGTTCAGATCTTTTCAAGAGGAACATTGCTTTGTCTGTATATTTAGGACTGTGGAATTTCTCTTGAAGTTGTAAAAAAAAATTGTATTTTTTGAGACAGGGTTTCTCTGTATTGTTTTGGAGGCTGTCCTGGAACTTGCTCTGTAGACCAGGCTGGCTTCGAACTCACAGAGATACGCCTGCCTCTGCCTCCCGAGTGCTGGGATTAAAGGCGTGCACCACCACTGCCTGGCTGAAGTTGTAAAAATTTTATTTATGTTCATATATGCTACATGTATATGCGTGCCAATGGCATTTGAGCCCCTGAAGCAAGAGTTAGAGGTGGTAGTAAACTGCCTGACATGGATTCTGGGAGTCCTCTGAAAGAGCAACAGTGCCCACAAAGTCTAAAAGAGTGTCTGGGATCCCCTGGAACTGGAGTTAGTACTTCTTGAGGGCCACCTTACATGGGTACTGTGAACTGAACTCAGGTCCTTTGGAAGAACAGCTTAACTGTGGAGTCATCGCTCTTGAATTTTAATTAGATATTTTGTGTGTTTACAATCTGTGTTCAAGTGGATGTGTGCATGTGTTTGTGTTGATGCATGTGTTCAACATCAGGTGTTTGCCTTTATGCTCCCTCCCTAATATATATTTCTTTATTGAGACAGGGTCTCGCTATGTAGCCCTAGATGTGCAAAACCTCACTATGTAGAGTGGGTTGACCTTGAACTCATAGAGATCCTCCTTCCTCTGCCTCTGCCTCCTATTCCGCCTATACTTATTTTTTAAAGTGTATTATTTTATGTGTTGGGGGAGATTTGCCTACACACATACACAAACATCAGGTACCTGCTTAGGTCCCATGGAAGCCAGAAAAGGGTTTTGGATCCCCTGGAACTGGAGTTACAAACAGTTGTGAGCCACCATGTGGGTGCTGGGAATCAAACTATGAGTTTCCTGGAAGAACAGCCAGTGCTCTAGCCACTAAGCTATCTCTCTAGGTCTCCTCTGTAATTTTTGAGACAGCATCTCTCACTGAGTCTGGAGCTCACCCATTTGACTATGCTAGCTGGCCAGCAGGCCCCGGGCATCTTCTTGTCTCTGTTCCTCAGATATAAGATACTATATCTGTTTTGTGTGTGTGTGTGGGGGGGTACGTTCTGGGGATCCAAACACAGGTCCTCAAGTTTGCATAGCAAGCACTTTTCAACAGCTGCCTCTCAAGCTCCTGTTTCTGTTCACTATGTTTTTAATTTTTGTTCCCCCTGAAAGACTTGAACAGATTTTCATTTTTCTTTTTTAAAATTTATTTATTTTGAGACAGCATCTGATTGTGTAGCCCTGGCTAGCCTCAAACTCACAGAGGTCTTCTGTCTCTGTTTCCCCAGGGCTGAAATTACAGGTGTGTGCCACCAAACGCAGCTTACATTTGTTTTTAGAATGGCAAAATTTGTTTATATTTATTAGCTACACATTTATTCTGTTATTCTGTTTGGTTTTTGGTTTTTTTTTTTTTTTTTGGTTTTTCGAGATAGGGATCCTCTGGGTAACTGTTTTTTTATTTAAAAAATATTAATGTATTTTGATAGTATTCACTCTTCCCCTTAGCTCCTCCCAGATGTACCCCCACCTCCCTGTCACCCCCCACCACTTCATGTTCTCTTTCCCTCCCTTTACTTTGCTAACCCCTGGGCTCCAATTTGTACTGTATACTTCTGAATGTGGGGCCAACCACTGGAGAGTAGTTTATTGTATCTTGGCTTTTTTATTCTTTTTCTTACATTAAAAAGTTTGGGCTGTTTTTTTTTAACTTTTGAATTTCATTTTATGTGCATGGGTAGGTATTTTGCCAGGGTGTCTGTGTACCACTTGGATTCCCTGGAACTTGAGTTAATGACTGTTGTGAGCCACTGCGTGGGTGCTGGCACTAGAAACTGGATCCTTTGGAAGAGCAGTCCGTGCTCTTAACCACTGAGGCATCTCTCCAGTCCCTCAAAGTGTTTTTGATTTTCACCTTTTTATGCTGCTGGCAATCAAACTTAGGACCTGGTACATACTAAGCCTGTATTGTATACCTTACTTCTTTGTTATTTTAACCTTAATAATAAACAAGTAGGGTTTCTTTTTTTGAATTTGGGAACTGTGGAATGGAATTAAAATGGTTTGACTGAGAATTTTGGATTTAGAGATGGATTGCTTTATGCATTATTCAAAATATTCTACTTTGAAGAAAACTCCAAGCTGAATGGAAAGGAATGGGAGACTGGAGAGGGGCTTTAGCGAGAGTTGGGGGAGGGATGAAGAAGTTCAAAATACAGTGTGTGAAATTCTCAAAAAACTAATAAAAATGTTTAAAAGTATTCTACTTTGAGTTAGTGCAGTGTCTATTATTATGGCTAGTTTAGATTGATTATAGTAGCTTGCTATTATACATTGATTTGATTTTCCTTCTTCCCAAGGACTCACCTGCCATTGGACCCAGAGGCCTTTTTGTGGGAGACCTTGTCACTCATCTTCAGGATTGCCCTGTGACTAACGTGCAAGATTGGAATGAATGTTTAGATACCATTGCATATGAGCCCCAAATTGGTTACTGTATAAGTGCATCAACGTTACAACAGTTAAGCTTCCCAGTTAGAGGTGTGTGCATTTTCTCAATATAACATGTTTCAAATACCAGTCCTTTCCATTACTAACCCTGAGACCATATCTATTGGTTAATTTTGTTCAATTGTCTTAAAGCACATAATTAAAATAAATAGGCCCAAACTAATAGACATTCTTCTTGGTTTGCTGGGTATCTGTTTCCTATATTATGAATTGTTGAACTTCTAATTTCTTTTATAATATTTGACTTTTAGAACTCAAAACACTTTTTTTCGGACTGAGTGTATAACTCAGGTGATAGAAGATTTGCATAATGTGGAATTCCATCTCTAATACCACAAAAATAATAATTTAAAAATATTTTTAAAATGTGTAAAATCATTTGGATATGGTGGTGAAGCCCTTTAATCCCAGCACTTAGTAGGTAGAGGAAAGAAGATCTCTGAATTCAAGGACAGCGTGGTCTACAGAGTGAGTTCCAGGACAGCTAGGGCTACATAGAGAGAAACTGTCTCAAAAAAAGAAAAAAACAAAAAAAAATCCCAAAAATGTGTAAAATCAGCATCCATGCTCAACAGTATGTACTCTGGGCATGTAGCTCAGTAGTAGAGCGTTTGCCTGCCTTTGCATGAGGCTCAAGGTTCAAACCCCACTATAACCCAACACCAAAACCCAAATTCAAAACAACCATCAACTATAATTAATCAATCACATTTTAGTAAATAATCCACTGTAGTATGATATTTTCACATGTGTAGACACATAAATGTATCTAAATGTAAGTCTAATTTTTAAGCACTTTAAAAGTTTTTGAGATTATGGTCTGGGTGGTGGTGGTGGTGGTGGTGTACACCTTTAATCCCAGCACTCGGGAGGCAGAGGCAGGCGGATCTCTGTGAGTTCGAGACCACCCTGGTCTACAAGAGCTAGTTCCAGGACAGCCTCCAAAGCCACAGAGAAATCCTGTCGCGGAAAACCAAAAAAAAAATTTTTGAGATTATAATATGCTTACATTTCTCCCTTCCATTTACTCCCTCAAAATCCTCCTATATATTCTTCCCCACTCTCCTTCAAATTCATGGCCTCTTTTTTTCAATAATTGTTATTGAATATAGATTTATATGCATATATATTCTTAAATATAACCTGTTCAATCAATATAATGTCACCTGCATGTTTTTAGTGCTGACCATTCAGCACTAGACAATCCGTTGATATGTTCTTCCTGGGGGAGCTCATCCCACCCACTCCTAGCTATGTCTAATATTTTAAACGTAACAATAAGCAATCCTTGGCAGAAGCATTTTTCCCTTTGGTGCTAAATGAACACTGAGTTAAATTTGTATATGCTATTGTATGAACAGATAATCAACTAATAGCTAACAACCAAAGAAATAAGTCAGAAGGCTTGAAGCAAGTTTCTTCTGAGAACCCGCTAAACTTATTTAACTCTGAAAAGGTCACCTCCTAATTTTTTTCAGATTTAATATTCCATATATTCATGAGCCTTTCATTATAAAGCATTTTCCTTCTTTCTACATTCATTTATTGTGTGCATGTATGCATGTGGCAGAGGTTGCAATAGTGTGGGGATCAGAGGACAACTTGGTGAAGTTGTTTCTCTCCTTCCACCTTCCTGTGGGTTCTAGGGATGAAACTCAGGTCACCAGGCTTGGGTGACAAGCACTTTGACTCACTGAGCTATCTCATCAGCCCCTTCCCTTTTTTTAATGCTTACGTGTTTTTTTAAAGTTATAGTGTTCTTATGCCCTCTGAATCTCATCGATTTATCACAATACCCCTTGTTTTTGAAATGTCATGTGTTTATTGAAATGGAGGCACTTATTTTCTCAAGCTTTACCTAGTCTGTCTTTTTCGAATTTAGAGGCTTATTTGATTCATGATTCCTTCCCTCACACCTCCCTCGGCTTCTCCTTGCCTCTTCTTCTCTCCCCTTCTCCCTGTTTGTCTCTGTTGCTGTCTCTGGCTCTCTGGCTCTCACTCTCTTTCCCTCCCTCCCTTTAAAGTATTTCATAGGTAATGGTTGGTACTTTTTTGTGTGATAGTGGGCGATGTCCAGATGTCTGGTATTCTCTTGTTCACTGGTATTAAGATTTTTTTTGAGTGACCAATCTGATTCTTTAAGGTTGAAACATTTTTCGGAGCCCCCTTACTCACAAAAGTCCCTTTTTAGAAGTAAATGGATAGGCCTTTCTTCACTATGTACTTCAGAAAGAGCATGAAGTTACTATCACAGAACCTGAAACTCACTCTAACTTTGGCTTTATGGGTCAGTTTATAAGGACACCTAACCTGGGGTAAGTGAAGGTTTGCTTGTTTAATTTTTGGACAGTGTCTCATGTAATCCAAGTTGGTCTTAAACTCAATACTTAGTTAAAGATGTTCTGGTCCTTCTGCCTGCACCTCCTATGTGCTGCGATTGTATGTGTGTGCCACCTTTCCTGGTTTATAGGATACCAGAGATCAAACCCAGGGTTCCACATGTGCTAGACACTGTACCAACTGAGCTATATTAATGCCAAGACCCTGAGCATAGCTTCTCATTTCAAATTGGATCTTTTTAATATTATAAAATCAACTATAGCCAGTAGCTGTCAAACTAGATACTGCACTATCAGTTGCTTCCAGATTTATATGCCATTCTACTTATGTTTTTCTCTTTAAAAGCAGAATTTTTTTAACAAATGTAAATGGATTCTTATAAGTACTGTGCTTCTTTTTAGCATACAAACGACTAGATGGTTCTACTGAATGCTGTAACAATCACAGCCTCACAGATGTGTGTTTTTCCTACAGAAACAATTTTAATAAGCGTTTGGTAAGTTGTCCCCAAGGCAGTCTTACTTGTCTGATATAATTACTAAAATAAACAGATAAAGCTAAAACAAAAGCTATAAAACTTTCTCTCTTTATTCTGTTTACTTTGTGTCATTTAATAAGACCACATGTCTCATATGTCACATTTTACCTGAGAATCTAAAAATCTATAGTGGTATGATATCCATATAGCAAAATGGAATATTGATATTTAATTTATAGTATGTGCACATTAATAGCATTCCTTTTATATGAAGGACATTCCTAAACCTCTGGGTGACAACAAAAACATGAAGGAATACAACCTAGATTTTTCTTGTTAATAAATATTTTTTAATATTGACCAATATTGTCTTTTTAGCATACATGTCTACCTGCCCGAAAAGCAGTTGAAGCTACTCAAGTTTGTAGAACCAACAAAGATTGCAAAACAAGCTCAACTTCAAGTTTCTGTATAGTACCATCATTGGAAACTCATACTCGATTAATAAAAGTGAAACATCCACCTCAAATTGATATGCTGTATGTAGGGCACCCACTACATCTTCACTACACAGGTGAGTATTGTTGGAGTAGACTCCTTTGTTTTTTTGTTGTTGTTTTCGAGACAGGGTTTCTCTGTGGCTTTTTGGAGGGTGTCCTGGAACTAGTTCTTGTAGACCAGGCTGGTCTTGAACTCACAGAGATCCACCTGCCTCTGCCTACTGAGTGCTGGGATTAAAGGCGTGTGCCACCAACGCTATTCGTTAAAAGACTTTTCTTTGTGTTTTTTATGCTTTTGTTTTTAGTGAAAGACTTACTATGTAGCCCTGGCTGGCCTGGAACTTGCTACATATAGCAGGCACACCTTAAACTCATAGAGATCTGTCTGTCACTGCCTCCTAAATGTGTGCACCGCCACACATAACACTACTTCATAGTTTTTGTTCTTTTTGCTTTTTAAGACTGGGTTTCTCTGTATAGCCCTGGCTATCCTAGAACTTCCTCTTTGAACCGGGCTGGCCTCAGACTTACAGAGATCCACCTGCCTCTGCCTCCCAAGTGCTGGGATTAGAGGTGTGCTCCACTCAGTGCAGCTTGCCTTATAGCTATATAGTGAGAGGCAACCTGCAGCATTTTCCTTGCTTATTGGTTTGATATTAAGTGACTCCAGGCAGCTATTGAGTATACTCTTAATAAATGAAGAATGGTTCTAGTTGGGGTTAATTTAGAAATGTGGACTGTGAGTTTTTCCTAATGATGTGATACATTTTAGATGCTTTGGACCAAAACAGGGTTGTGGAATCTACAGAGTGTGGGAACTTTAACGATCCCCTTGTGTTGATCTCTATCTTACCAATAAAGAAGCAATCAGCAAATAGCATAATAGTTGTAACAAATGCAATTTTTAGAATACACCTCTTTGAAAGGATAATAATGCTTTAGATATAAATTATATTTTCAAGTCCCACTTTATATTTGGTAGTCATAATTGATTTGTGGTCTGCTTTATCTTAGTTGTACCTCACAAAATAAGTATGCATTGGGACATGAGATTTTCATTCCACTATATTTAGTAGATGTTTATGAACTGCTTTCTCTTTATCCTTTCTTTTTTTTCTCTTTTGTTTTGAGACAAAGTCTTACTATATAGCCCTCGCTGGCCTGGCACTTGCTATATAGACCAGGCTAGACTCACAAAGATCCTTCTGCCTCTGCTTGCCAAGTAATGGAATTAAAGGCCTGGCCCAGATTTCCTTATAAATAAGGTATAGAGCTTACTCACACATATGTAGGAAAGGTTTGCTCATCTATTTTAATAGACTAGTGCAATTTTGATCATATAGTAAATATATAGTGTTGCTACTTTGCTTCTGTGGATAATATTTATTATTCCTTGTTTTTCATTTTTAGTGAGCATCACAAGTTTTATTCCACGTTTCAACTTTCTAAGCATAGATCTGCCGGTGATTGTGGAGACATTTGTCAAGTATCCTTTCTGGTTTGAAAAATACTTTAAAAGTGTGTTATTTGTAGCTTCATCATTTTTACCTTGAGTAGAACATTACAAATAGAGTCCTTATCATTTAATTGCTTACAACCGATAAAAAGACTTTAAAGATGAAAGACATTAGGTTTTACATACGAGGGAAATGTTAGTGAAGAAAACTCGATCAAGTATGGAGAAAAACTAAAACACAGAAAGGAGAATTGTGGGAAGAGCAGCAGACGGGCATCACAGCAACTTGACTCCGGGGGAGGAAGTGCCTGAAGCTCCAAGAGAGGGTGGGCTCTCCTCACAGCATCTTCCGTTTTCCTCTGTTCTAGCCTCAGTTTTCCTCAGAATTCCAAGAAGCGCTCTTCCGAGACACAGGTGTGCCATGTGCATGCAGTGCCCACGGAGGCCAGAAGAGGGTGCCAGACATGAGTTGAATATGGTTGTGAACTGCCTTGTGGGTACTAGTAATCGAATCTAGGTCCACTCAAGAACAAGCCCTGCTCTGCTGAGCCATCTCTCTAGCCTCACAAAAGCATATAGTTTTACAGAAATATAATGTAAATATATAAATATGCCTGTAAAAAAAAGGTGCAGAAATGAAGGAACCCTTAATACAACTCGAGAGTTTCATTTATTTATAAGAAGTTTATAAAGGATAAAGTTTCCATTACTTGTGAGGTGATGCATTCTGCCTGACTTGAGCTTTTTTTTTTTTTTTCCTTTTTGAGGCAGGGTCTTGCAATATAGCCCTGGTTATCCTGGAACTTACTCTGTGGGCCAGGATGGCTTTGAACTCACAGAGACCCACCTGTCTCTGCTTCCTGAGTGCTGGGATTAAAGGCATGTGGCACTTATTGCCTAACCCAACTTGAGCTTATTAATAGATTCCGGACAGTGGTGGCGCACACCTTTTATCTCAGCACTCAGGAGGCAAAGACAGGCAAAACTTTGTGAATTGAAGTTCAGCCTGATTTACAGAGCGAGTTCCAGGACAGCCAGCGCTACACTGTGAGACCCTGTCTGGAAAAAACATATTGGGGGGCTGAGATGGCTCAGCAGTTAAGAGCACTGACTGCTGTCCCAGAAGATCCAGGTTCCATTTCCAGCACCCACATAGTGGCTTACCACTATCTATAACTCCAATTCCAGGGAATCCAAACACCTGTTCTGACCTCTATGAACTTCTGTATGCATGTGGTACATACATTTACACAGACACACATATATATACTTACAATTTAAAACAATTGAAGTAATTTGGGGACTGGTGTGTTGGTGCGTGTTTGTTATCCTAACACTTAGGAGACTAAGACTAGAACATCACCAGCCTGTGCAGCAAGACCCAGTCTCAAAATTTAAAAAACTAATAATGTGGGGGCTGGCATTTTTGTTCAGTAGTAGAGCATTGCCTAGTGTGCCCAAAACCCTAGGACTGCAGCAATTTTTCTCTTTGTTTCTTAGCCCTGCTCTTCTCTCCCATTATTATCATTAAAGATTGGAAAAACTAATTTTCTTAGGAATGCATTGTAGACTGTTTAGTTTGCCTTTGTTTTTCCATTCAAAGTTTTTGAACTTCAAGGAAATATTAACTTGTTTTAAATAGAGCTATAAGAAAGAATGTTAGAGACGTAAAGTAGAAAAATCTACTGTAATCTCACCTCCCAGTCCAGTGTCTTTTGGCTTTTCAAAAGATGATTTCCATTTGCACCTCACAGCTAGCTCCTTAACTGATCTTTACCCAGGTATCTGATTTCTCTTTCCGGAGCTCTGGCTATTGTTAATGCAGTGCCCTGCTTTGCCTTGGATGGTCAATGGATTTTAAACTCTTTCCTGGATGCTACCCTTACCTCAGTGATTGGAGACAATGATGTCAAAGATCTGATAGGATTTTTCATCTTGCTTGGTGGCAGTGTACTTTTGGCTGCCAATGTGACCCTGGGACTCTGGATGGTTACAGCACGGTAATATTTGTTCTCATCCAGCAGAAAGTATGGAGTACAACTGTGTGGGACTATCTTTTGCCATTGAAATTCTTACTAGGTATGAAGTGTAAAATGTTTCCTTAAAACACCTTGGCCAACACCTTTGAGCTCCTCCTATCTCTAGAGCATCCAAACTCTGTAGTGGAGAAGTAATGGAAGACATGAAAAGCATAATTCCTGACTACATTCTAGTTTCAAAGATTGAATGTGCAAATTTTGAATGTTTGTGGAACAATTTGTAAACAAGTGAAAATTCTCTCATGTAATACCATTTTGTGTGACTATATAGCATTTTAGGGAAAGCAGAATCTGGTGGTAACGTGTGTGTGTGTGTGTGTGTGTGTGTGTGTGTGTGTGTGTGTGTGTGTGTTACTAGAGTTTGAAACCAAGGCCTCACTTATGCTACTTATGCTAAGCAAGCTTTTTACCCCTAAACTATATCTTCTGCCCCAGGTAAAATTTATTGAAAAGTGCCATTAAGATGATGTGGTGGTGCACATCTATAAATCCAACACTTGCCTATGTGTTTGGGAGTCTAGGCAAAAGGATCATGAATTCAGGGTCATCCGTCTTTAGCTACATAGTGGAATCCAGGCCAACATTGGCTACATAGCAAGACCCTGCTTCAAACGCACGTGTGTAAGCACGTACACACACACACACACACACACACACACACCATTAAAGATTTAGGCATACTGGATTTTGGTTAAATGGAAGATTGAGCAAGTGTTCATGGTTTTATAATGCTTGTCTTTATCTTGTTTGGAAAGTATTTTAAAGCTTAATGGTATATTATACTATACTCTGAATACCAAGGTCTGATTACAATTAAACCAGTAAAATTCTATGAAAGTATCTGCTAACATGAAAGCAAAAACTCTGTGCAAGTGATACCAAGTAAATAGACAAAGTTGAAAGTAGATAAGGCCTGTGATGTGATAAGACAGTTTTGTCGCTCAAGTATTCCCTTTTTCATAGAGGATCTCTACACCCTCACAACACACTAGCCTTGTTCTATACAGTTTGCTGCAGGAAGAACCTCCCACAGCAGCATGTGAGCTCAGGCAGTTAGAGGTGAATTTGATAACTAAGATGAGTCCTCTAACAAATCACAACAGAACAGACACTGCAGCAAATCTAGTAAGCACTTTCTAGAGTTTTGCATCTTGGCACTTTTCCAGAGTAGACCTTTTCCTTTATGCTGCAACAGCATTCAACCCTGAGCCATACTCTGTCCTCACCAGCATCTAGTATGTTTCTCTCTGTTGGGGGATCAAACACCTAATCTTTGTTTTCTGTCTCCCCATGAGCTACCTCTGTGAGCACACAAAGACTTAGTAGGAAGTGAGAATGGCTGCACAAATGTAGATTTCCCAGAGTCTAGGAACAGACTCTTGAGCCCTAAAGAACCCCCGTTGGTCTTGTGGATAGCAATTGAACCCTGAGAAATCAGAGTCAGCTGGCCTGTGTGAAGCTGTTAGTCTTAGGGATATGTGCACACACTGTTTCTTTCATGAAAAATACACATTTGATGAAACACACACACATTAGAAGTAACAAAAGGCAGGCCGGGCGGTGGTGGCGCACGCCTTTAATCCTAGCACTTGGGAGGCAGAGGCAGGCGGATCTCTGTGAGTTCGAGGCCAGGCTGGACCGACAGCCTCCAAAACAATACAGAGAAACCCTGTCTCATAAAAACCAAAAAAAAAAGAAATAACAAAAGGCACTAGTTCATTCATTGCTAGCCAGACATATATACCTCCTTCCTGAAGTACTTCATGAGGTTACCTTTTTTAGAACATTAATTATCTTAAGCTCCTAAAATTTTTAAATCAATTTTTAGAAAATTTTTAGACTTTATTACAAATTTGCCTTCATTCTCTAACAGGAATCATACACTGAATATCATTTTGAGACTTTATTAATGATGGGCCATTAGTTGCTAACAGTACTAAAGGCATACAAATGTAGTGCTTTTTAGTTTTTATCCCAGAAAATATGGCATTTGTTGTCTTCTGTGGTCACTCAGGACCAAAATGTATTTGCATACTAAAAATGCACAGACCTTTTCAGGTAAAACTTTGAAAATGCCGTGAAATACTCACATAAATAACTTGGTCGCATGCATTAAGCAGTTTACTAATGAAATTGTATGTGTAAATCATGTTTTTCAACACTGAGGAAAACAATTATTGTTTGGTGTGGTACTTATAGAACCCAGCATAGATAGCTTTACACATGCTAGCAAGCACTCTGCCACTAACCAACCCCATAGATCATGAAAATATTTAAGAAGAGGAAATTTTATCCACTAACTTCATTGTCTGAGTGAAAGCAACAACAAAACAAAACCTCACTTCATATTAGCTGCTAAACACCTCTGTCAGCTAATACATAGGGTCAGGGTGTGGGAACTTCTCTCCTGGAAGTCCAGAAGATTTGTATACAAATGGCTTCACTGATTAAGAAAGGACATGTTACATATTGTCTCTTCAGCTTCACTGTGGGCTCTTCTACTGTGAGTGTGTCATTCATACTCAGCTTTGTCTCCCTGCACAGTGCATGAGATATTAGAAGTACTTAATATGCTTGAATGGATGATGATTAGTGTTTATTTATGGATAGGAAAGCATGCTTCTATTTAAGTAAGCTGTAAAAAGGATTGTTGAATATTTACTGTACATATATGTTAACATAAAAAACACTTGGAAGGTCTTTATGTCCCTGGTGTATTACCATCTTTATGGAAAAAAATCTATTTTGATTTCTGTAGAGCAATGAGAAAAATGAATTATATAGGAAAAATAATTTATGTTGGTGATTTGAAGTATCTTTGTGTTGTCACCTTGTTCAACAGTAAAACTTTGTTCTCAGTGTTCCTATTCTGCATTGTTTACATTTTAAGGTTTTTATTTTAATCATCTGTAATTGTAAAGAATGTATATATTATTTTCAGCATCAGTTTGGAGAGATATGCAGTTAAACTTGACTTTTTGATAATCATTTCTAGGTCATTGTGCTAACAGGAAATTGTAAACATATGCTTCATAGTGATGTGGCTCTCTGTCATCATTGTGTCCTTGGTATTTGAGCATCCACATACTAGTAGCACACAGATAATTTTTTCAATAACTCTTTTGAATGAGCTGTAATTCCTTTTTAGGCTTTAACTTGATGGTATAGTAATTGTCAGAATTTGATGCTTAGCAATAAAAGAACTCATGTAAACCAGCATTTCATGTTTATCATCTGTGTCTTGTCATATTTTATACTTGATCATAGCCTAAAGATCAAGAAGCAATTGATTTTTTAGTGTATGTTTTTGTATAGGAATGTCCCCCTTACATAAAGAAGAACTTAGTTGTTCTTAAATTCTTGATTCTAAAAATGGCCTTCCATTACCATTTATAGAATTTGTATATGACAGTTACTACTGGCCTCAGAAAGAAATTTTTTAAGTAAGGTGCCCAAATATTTCTCATTTTGGAAATGTTACCTTTAAGGTAAAAGGCAGCCACATTTCGTTAGTGGCGCGCGTGCGTGCATGCATGTGTGGCGTGTGTGTGTAAATCGGTCTATCTGTCTGTAATACTATTATATTAATATATTTGCATTGTATCGTTACAAAAACATGCTTTGGAGGGAGGCTGCATGTGCATTTAGGGGATATCTAGAGTCTGTCATTTCACTCAGGGCAGGGTCCAGGCACTCCCCTAAGAGTCCAGGTTGAGAGAGCATCCCTCTTTGTGTTATGGAAACACGATGTCTGTTTGTATTCCAGGGATAAACACTGATCCACTGCCCAGGGCCCCATTGGTTGCCCAGGCCTCCTCACTTGGCATGCTTAATATACTGTGTGTGTGATGCTGCAGGTGGGATTTGGGATCTCATGGATCCTAGGCAAGTGTGCTATCACTGAACTACTACCCTAGTCCTGAACTGTGCTTCTTTTTAAAATATTCTTTAAGATTTAATTAATTTATTTATTATGTACAGAGTGTTCTGCCTACATGTATGCCTGCACACCAGAAGAGGGCACCAGTTCTCATTATATAGTTGTGAGCCACCATGTAGTTGCTGGGCATTGAACACTGGACTTCTGGAAGAGCAAGCAGCCAGTGCTCTTAACCTCTGAGGCATCTTTCCAGCCGTGCACTGTGTTTCTTAAATCTCGAAACAGAACATAATGAGGTAGTTGCACTGAACTTATAACACTCTTGTAATATTCTAATGTTATATTGTAGTTTTTGTTTGGTTGTATTTTGTTTTGGTTCTATTTTGTTTGGAGTCTATCTCCTATGTAGACCAATTTGGCTAGACTTAAGGTAGTCCTGCCTCAGCCTCCCAGCCTCTGGGATTACAGGTATGTGCAACCAATCTAATTTAGTTATTTTTTTAAAACTGGAAAACAGCCTGTCAAAATATGGTTCGGCACACAGGAAAAGCAATCTTCTCTTTCTTTTCTCTTCTACAGTATGTGCTTCCTGTGACAGAAATTTAAAGTGCCAGCTACTTTCTCTCCTTGCAACCCTGCAGCCCTGCAGGTAGGACTAGTCATGTAGCCAAAATTGCCAAGTGAGCTTTTTGGCAACATTCTCCCCAGAGGCTTCTAAAATGATTTTCTGTCTTGATAAAAACAAAACCTATTCAGGGCAGGGCAGGGGAGATGGCTCAGCAGGTAAAGTGTGTGCCCTACAAACAGGAGACTCTAGTCTGAATCCCCAGCCCACATATAAAGTGCTCTTACAGCTAGACAGGAAGAAGAGACAGGAAAATTTCTGGACTCTTGGACCAGATAGCCTGGTGTATGTAGTAGCTAGTGAGTTTCTCTAAAAAGGTGGGAACTCTCATGCAGTATTATCCTATGACCCCTGTACTTGCACTGTGTGGCGCGTACTCACACACATGAACACACATATTCATGAATACACACATACACACACACACACACACACACACACACACACGGTAGAAAGAATGAGAAGAAGGGAGGGAGGAAGGGTGGTTCAGGGAGTTGTGCAAAGCAAGCATTGTATCAGCTGTGCCACATCCCCAGTCCTCCTCCTTGTCTTTTCATGGGCATTTCATATAACTGAAACTACAGGAGGAATATTGCATCCATCAGGCAATAGACAAAAACAATTGTTTAATATGACTACATGTACAGATGCAAAGACCCTGGGTGGCTGATGGCACTATTTAGCCTAGGACTATGGACTTCTACTGTCTTTAGGTTGGACAACTGAACTTCTTGTTAAATGTACACTTTTAGTTGGATATTGTTATTCACAGGTGAAAGAATCTTACTTGAACAACTAGAATAAAGGAGGAAAACGTTTCACACCAAGTTTTTACTACTTTCCTTCATGTATTGGTAGAGTGTATTTTTAAACATAAGCGTATAAGAAAATCCTGTAGTGAAAGGAGTAGTGTACCAGGTTAGACCCCCTCCCAGGAGGAAAAAGTTTCACACCAAGTTTTTACAACTTTTCCTTCATGTATTTGTAGAGTGTATTTTTAAATGTAAGTGTATAAGAAAATCCTGTAGTGAAAGGAGGAGTGTACCAGATTAGACCCCCTCCCAGGCTTTCCCTTCAAGTCTCCGGTGTGGCAGACTCAAAGAATTGCTATCATGGTAGGAAGAAAGATGTGGAGCAGGAATGAAAATAAAGGGGCTGCAATGATGCTTTAGAGCACTTGTTACAATTGCAGAGGACCCAGGTCCAATTCCCATCACCCATATGGAGTCTCACAGCCATCCATATCTCCAGTTGCAAGGGATATGACACCCTCTTCTGACCTCCATGAGCACCAGGTATGCATGTGGTAAGCATGCATACATGTAAGCAAACATTCATAAACATAAGGAAATCTTTTAAGAGGTAAGAATATACATATTCTTTTGAAGCCAGGCACTGGTGGCACAAGCCTTTAATCTCAGCGCTCAGGAGGCAGAGGCAGGCAGAGAGCTCTATGTGTTGGAGGTCAGCCTGGTATACAAAGTGAGTTTTAGGACAGCCAGGGATACACAGAGAAGCCCTGTCTCAAAAAACAAACAAACAAAAAACAAGAAAAGAAAAACCAAAAAAAAAAAAAAGTTCTTTTGGGAGCAGGGATATGATGACACATGCCTTTATCCTGTCACTCAGGTGGTAGAGGCAGGGGGATCTCTCTTGAATTTGAGGCCAGCCTGTTTTACATACTGAGTTCCAAGACAACCAGGGATATATAGTGAGGCCCCATCTTATAAAACAAACAAACAAATAAAAGCAAAAACTTTTTTGTCAAAACATATTGCTAAAATTAGGTACAATTTCCCCCAAAATGTGGCAGAAACCAGAAGCCATTTTCTCCCAAACTAACCACAATATCTAAAGACTTTGTCTAATTCTCACTGTTTTCCTGTGTTAAGAGCTGGCTGTAATAGGCGGATCTCTATGAGTTCGAGACCAGCCTGGTCTACAAGAGCCTCCAAAGCCACAGAGAAACCCTGTCTCGAAAACCCAAAAAAAGAGCTGACCGTAAAAAAATGGTCTGGTTTGTCTTGTCTGGCTGTACAGCGAGCAACCCTGAGCCATTTCTCTAACATCCCCTGCCCTTTGTGTAGTATTTTAAAAATAAGGCCATTGAGATGGCTCAGTGGATAAAGGTGCTTGTTGCTAACCCTTGCGGCTCATTCCAGAAAGGAATCTGGATAGGTCTTGATGTGGCGGTGATGCCACCACCGCTGCGCTGCCCAGCCATCGTCCACCCACCATGTGTAGTCATTTGCCTTTTTTTGGTATAATCACAGTTCTACAAGGCTGTCCCTGCTTCATTAAACTTAAGCAGAAGAATGGATGTTTCACACAATATCTTTGAACCTTCAGTCAGAAGATTCCTGTGTCACATTTTGAAACTATGATCAAGTTAATGTGTTAATTATTTCCTCTTATTAGTTCCTTTGGTTATAAGAGCATTATCCCCATCCCTTGTTTTGTTATTATTATTATTGTTATTATCATTATTATTGGTTTTTCAAGACAGGGTTTCTCTGTGGCTTTGGATCTTGTCCTGGAACTCGCTCTTGTAGACCAGGCTAGTCTCAAACTCACAGAGATCTGCCACTGCCTCAGCCTCCCAAGTGCTGGGATTAAAGGCATGCACTACCACCACCCAGCCCCTTGTTTTATTCTTTATTTGTAACGTGTAGTTTTCCTGCTCGCCACCTGGGTCATGTTGTCGCTTTCAGCCCCCAAATAACACACAGGACACTGTATTGATTATGAAGCCGTTGGCTGTTTGCTTGGTTTCTTAACGGCTAGCTCTGACTTGATTATTAACCCATAATTACTAATATATACACATATACATATACATACATTATAAGGACTTATCTTTTTTGAGGACACACTCCTGAGCACCAGTTGCTCCCAGGAGATCACATGGTGACCAGTCTCTTCACTACATTTCCCAGAATCATCCTAGACTCCTAGTCCCACCTATATTGCTTCCCTATTGGCCAACAGTGCTTTATTGACATATACACAGGACTTCCCCATAATTTATTGAAGAATAAGGCCAGTATGATGGCTCAGTGCATAAAGGTGCTTTCAATAACCCTGACAACCTGAGTTCCCCAGAACCATCTTGGTGTAAGGAGAGGACTGATTGCAGGAAATTATCCTCTGGCCTCCACACACACTGCCATAAAGCTAGGAACTGGGCTTGAGAATCTGAAGTACTCCAGAACCTCAGCATATTCATTATATGCAGTTGGACAGAAAGGAAGGGTTATTGTAAAGACCTGGACAAAGAGTTATTATAGACAGATAAATAAGGAGGCAGGGTTGATGTTTCACAGCTGGATCGAGGACCCAGGTTTAGCCAATCTAGGCAGGAACAGTCTCTGTAGGGGAGCGGTGTTGAGGCTGTACACATCTAAGGAGAAAAAGCTATGGTGGACATTTTCTGCACAAACTATCAACATCCACACTTGGACCAGAGGAAGGCTTTGCCATTTCTCCATGGATCTGAAGCTCTGGGAGCTTTAGACATGGCCAGCTCCTGTCAACACATACATTTACTCAGGAATTCACTTACCTAGGGCTTTCTCCACTCCCTACAGTACAGCAAGCACTTTGCCCACAGAGTCATCTCCTTAGCCAAGCAATCCAATTTTATAAAATGACTTTCCTTTATCTGTATAAGTTATAGTGAACTTACATCTATAGCTCAGGTTTGGAGGAGGACTT